ACATCAGCATACAAAGCATACTGACGAGCATCGTCCATAGACAGTTCAAATACAGGAATCTTACGGGCTAGCAGGCGAGCCCAGCGCGGGGTGGTCGCCTCAGGACCCCAGCGTGCACGGTAGAGGTCGTCGAGGCGGCGGAAGCACCGCGCTGCAGAGTGGTCGTCGCGGCCGCAGACACAGGGACTGCCAGGTCCGGTGACGCACCAGTGGTCGCAGGGGCCGGTGTCGCGCCGCGGGGGGCGAGGGGCCCAGCTGGTAGTGCTGCTGCTGCGGCCAGTGCTCCCGGGTCCTCCAGGTCCCCACTGTGGCGGAGGGCCCCAGTGCTGCTGCGGACCCCACTGCAGTGGGGGTCCCCACGTCTGAAACTGCTGTGGTGCCTGCCACTGCTGCTGTCCCTGGTGCAGCTGCTGTCTCTGCTGTGGCTGCTGCTGCTGTGGCTGCTGCTGCTGGGGCCCCGCACCACCGCTGGTCGAACCTCCTCCAGCAGGTGGGTCAGCACCTCCTCCAGAGCTCCCTCCGCCTGGGGCAACACCGCCACCACTGCCGCCCCCAGGGCCGCCTCCACCACCGCCACCTCCTCCACCGCCGCCACCCCCCTTCCCCCCTTTCTTGCCCCCCTTGCCCCGTTTCTGCCTGTCAGCGGCAGAAACAGCTGCAGTGTCCTCAGAAACCGACACAGCAGCAGAGGCACGTGTAGCAGTGAAGGTAGGAAGCTGGGGGACAGCACACCCCTCAAACAAACGAGGGGCAACTGCGTCAGTGGCTGAGGCAACAGAGAGGAGGTTACTCTCGATCTTCCCGAGAGTGGTCTCGAGAAGATCAATCGTAAGCTCACTGGGGTGATGCTGGAGAAGTGCGTCACGGGCAGTGGAGAGGCGGTCAGGGAGACGAGTGACTACCCAGTGGACTGTGAGCCAAATAGGAGGAGGAGCAACAAGAAGCTGAGCCTCAGTGCAAGCTGCTCGGTAGCTAGCGACAAGGGAGCGCAAGTGTGTGGCTAGGTCAGAGAAAGTCGCAAAAGAGCCGAGGTCGGGAAACACGAACGGCATGAGGATGCGGCTGAGGGAGGCAGAGGAAGGGGTGGAATAGCGTGCAGAAATAGCATCATACACCTCCTTCGCAGTCTCTACCAGGTCGAAGTGAGCGGCCTCAGTCGGTGGAAGGAGCTCGGTCAGCGCGAGTGCAGCCGCAGCGTCACGGGAGTCCCAAACGTCCCGCGCCAAGACGAGACGAGCGTAGTCCGCCTGTGCCTCCGGAGTCGGGGGGGGCACGGCAGGGAGGGGCTCGGGACGCGGTGGTGCCTGGAGGGCACCGGACGCGTGGGCGTACAGGGTGGCGCCGTCCTGGCGCTGACTGGTGAGATAGCGCTGAGTCTGGCGGAGCCAGGTGCCGAACTCTATCGGGCGCCCCTCTGCATCGAAACGAAGGCGGCGGGAGGAGTCCATATTGGACGCTAGGCTAGGAACAGCTGGAGCACGGAGCAAACGGAGCTAGGAGCGAGGAGCGCCAGGTGGGACTAGGCGAGGTACTGCTGGAGCACGGAGGAAAACTGAGCTAGGAACGCCAGTCTAGTAACGAACGGAGCTGGGAGTTAGCTGACCTAGGAGCACACGGCTGGAGGAGGCAGGGCTGATGAGCCGATCGAGGAGCCAGAGGGTCGTTCGAGGGGTTGGCGGAGCGAGGAGAGACCTAGCTAACAACGAACGTCAGGACTAGCCTAAACAGCTAAGCGGAGCGGCCTCCAACCGCGACGGTGCGAAACACTGTGAGTATGAGTGACGCGAGTGTCGAACCAACGGAGGTCGGGTGGTCCTGGGTGGTGTGCGCGCGTGATAAGGGGATGTGAGCGTTTGGAAGGGGCTCTGAGCGGTTGGAAGGGGCTGTGAGCGGTTGGAAGGGGCTGTGAGCGGTTGGAACGGGCTGTGAGCGGTTGGAAGGGGCTGTGAGCGGTTGGAAGGGGCTGTGAGCGGTTGGAAGGGGCTGTGAGCGGTTGAAAGGGGCTGTGGGCGGGTGGGAGGGGCTAGCTGGCGCCAGCTGCTGGCGGCTAGGTTCCGGTGGCTAGCTGCTGCTGGCGGCTAGCTTCTGCCTAGCCGTGCTGCTGCTGCAGGAGCACGCGCTGCTGCCTAGCCGTGCTGCTGCTGCAATGCACACGTTGCTGCCTAGCCGTGCTGCTGCTGCAATGCACGCGCTGCTGCCTAGCCGTGCTGCTGCTGCAATGCACGCGCTGCTGCCTAGCCGTGCTGCTGCAGCAAAGCACGCGCTGCTGCTGCAATGCGCGTGCTGCAGTTGCGTGCGCGGCTGCCGCTGGCTAACGCGCGCGCTGCTGCGGGCTAAGAACGACTACGTGGGCCCGCGGGGGGGGGGGGGGGGGGAGAGTCCCTTCTGGAGCGCGACGAAACGAGGGGCCAGTGGGGCCCTGTAAACGCGACGAAAAACGAGGCCCGCGGGGGCCCTTAAACGCGACGAAAACGAGGCCCGCGGGGGCCCTTAAACGCGACGAAAACGAGGCCCGCGGGGGCCGTCCTACCCGCGACGAAACGGGGCCTAAGGGACGGGCGCCTCGGGACCGGCTAAGGGAGGGAGCGGAAGCGTGGGAGGGAGTAAAAAAAACCTACTCTAATACCATCTTAAGATAGGCTAGGAGACAAGTGTCGAGAGTAAATGTTTGAGTAAGGAGGGACAAGGAGATACAAATGTCGACCTAAAGTGTTGTACCCTTTAGAGGGCAACTCACAGTAGCCTATCTAACAATATATAGAATATATAAACATTTGACAGTGGTACCCATCAACTGTGCGCGAATTCCCTGACTGGTACCGCAACATTTCAACCGAGCTGTACACCGTACACCAAGAGTTTCAATGCGTTTCTCAGTATATTGTCTTAACGTTTACAAGCTCAATAGAGTCACAAGCCCGAAGTGCCACCTGATCGAGTCAATTTATCACACCCATTACCTATAATAAAGTGTAGAAGAAAAGCTGGATTCTTAAATAAAATAGCATTCATTGGGTAGATTTGTTTAGGCTAAGAAACATCGACAATATAACGTGCTATAAGATAACGTAAAACTGATATATTGCATCAACCGAAAAAAAAACATCCGTATAGCAAACAATCAACTTACACGTAAAGTATATATTGACTTAAGGTATATTTGATTTTCATTATATGTATTGTTTTGTTTCCAAAACCCAACGAATGTACGTATTATTTGTTTATGATTTTATGTTTAGCTTTGGGGGTGCATGCTCAATGTATTTGCATACAACCTTATAAACTTTGTTCAAATAACATACTGAGCGCTGCGAAACATGGTCGCAAGATTCACTCTACCTGTCGTTCAGTGGTGTGAGCTTACGAAGGTTCGGAGGTAATGTGAGGATTTTAGAAGAGGAGTTGAATTCTTTCTATGTTGCACTCTGTCCAGTGTAAGGCACGTTCAAACATTTATGTTCAAGGGTATTAATGTTCAATAAGAGTTTGTAAACGTTGTTATTAATATACTGAAAAACGCATTGAAACCCTTGTTGTACAGTGTACAGCTCGGTTGAAATGTTGCGGTACCAGTCAGGGAATTCGCGCACAGTTGATGGGTACCACGCAGGGAAGATGGGTACCACGGAGGGAAGATGGGTACCACGAAGGGGCGCGCATGATCTGACGGGACCATCGAGCCACGTAGGTGACTTCTGACGTCAGGGCTTCGATGTTGGTTACCCAGAAGGTAATTACCCATGTTTTCGGGTTTCCCAGCAACGGCTGGCCTGCGACATGGCTGGAACGTGGCCTGCTGTTGCCTGTGCACCCTGAACAGGGTGCCATTGGGTTCACTAGCCATCCATTTCATGCCTCAGCATCTCGATGATGAAACGCAGTGACTTCCGTCGTACACATTCGGGGAACATTTCATGCCTACGTGGCAGGAACTGTGCATTTCGCCGTCGCCCAACCCCGAATCGAGTCGCATTCCCCTCCTTTAGAGCACAGCCTGCGATAGAAGGAGCTGATCAGCGACCACAGCTCAATTCTAACGATGACGGCGAAAGGGATGACCTTTGCGCCAGAAATCAGGGGAGCAAATTGTGCCAACGGACACGCAAGTGTGAGGACGTGGTGTGAAAAGGCCCGCGAAGCATTTGCCCGCCGTTGGCGAAAACGACAGGCAGGACCAAAAGTTTGCGCATCGACGCTGATGTGTCACTTTCCATACAGCGACAACCCAAGCACAAGCCAGTGCTGCTGCATAACTGTAGTGTACACAATCCAATATTAACAAGGTGATAAGAAATCACAAGTAATAGAATCCATGTTCACCTTTACATGAAAGATATTAAGCAGAGTGAAATCAATGTAACCGGGTTCAACGAGTGGAAGGGAAATGAAACAAAATAGTTTCTGAGATGAAGCCGAAATTGTTCATTTTCTGTCAGACAAAAATCCTTGAGAGTGGTTACCACGGGCGTTTGTATGAGTGATGGTTAAGTTTGCAACTGGGTAATAAAGGCTTTATTCGGAATTCAAATAATAGTCTACGCAAACCAAGGGAAAATATAGCACAAGGAGAGAGAGCCTCTCCGAATTCGAGCCTTTCGAGGCCCTACTATGTGTGACATGGCTACGCCGCATGATGTTGCGTTATCTCCTCCAACCCTTTCGTTCTTCAACAGCACATAGCAAGCATCCCAATCGGACATGCTGTGCTCCCTTGTCTGAATGGCCCGGAAAATGATGCGACGTTACATCACATGCTTTCCCCCAGCTTCAGGATATCTAACATCAACAGCCTCCTTTCCCCTTACGAGGATTCCTACACATCTACAAGTCTAAAGAATCTACGCATTAGTGCACTCGACTACAGTAAGTGAGCAAGTTTATCTTGTCAAGATCGTATATGTATGGGCGAGCGCAATCACTTGATGCGCCCATCCCCGTGTGCCGCCGCCTGCCATCATCCGTCAGCGATATCAGTTCTGTCAAAACGTTAACGCCGACCGTCAAGGAGACCCGTTCACGAGCGTTCTCGCCCGCATCGACGGATACCGGTACGATTCCACCTCTCGCGGGGGTGTCCGAACGCCTTTTTGCACCTCCACGTGGCATGGCTGCACGCGTGCCAGGTGGCCGGGCGGCTTCAGCATGGATAACGAGTTGACGTCCATCGTGGCCTCGAAGGGTGGGCGCGAATTCCAAATCTCCGCTTCAAGCCGCTTGCAGTACGCGTAAAAGACGTCCGTTGTAATGTTCAAGCGGAAATCCATGCGGAATAGAAGCTCCATTTCCAGACGGTTCATCTCGGCTGTTGTAACGCCTCCGACCTTAGCGTAGTACGCGTTATTGAAGTACCTGTACGAGGAGAATGTAAAGAATGTGGAGAAAGAAAATGCTTTAGCGAAGCACAGCGACATAAGCACCATATGCGGAGGCTGAATATTCTAGGGGGCAAGAACAAAAACGGAATGACGGAGCTTGCACGAAATAAACTCGTTCACGAGGATGGTTACCACTTACGAGTCATCGAGAAACTTCGCGGCGACCATGATGCAGGTGATGAGCAGGCGATGCACATTCAGCGACGTGATCACCATGTCGTCATGCTCTTGCAGAATTCGGTCGATGTACGCATACGCCACGACAAAACACGCCGGACTGCAGTTCGCGTACTTAAATATCCGCTCCAGGTACTTTTCCACGGTGATTGCCGGCGCACGAAGCCCGTGAAAAACCGTCAACTTGCGGTCACCGGATTTCGCCTGTTTCGCCTCGTTACGCGACACCACGTGGTCGAGGATGCTGGAGAGAATCCCGAGTATCCGGGGTCGCTCGGCTGTTGTGTCTGGCTCAATTTCGAGCGTCGAAAGACCTGAGTAGCTCTTGGGCTGTGCAATCAGTGCAGGAGGGAGAGAACCACCTTTCCCCATAATTCCTGATTATTAGTTGCTGATACTACCACTGGTGCGGATAGGGCTACCAAAGTCGAGCAAATCCTTCGAGGTGAGGAGCTAGCTCGTTAACACAAAGGACTGCGTCGATGAAGGTTGAACATGAGAGTGTGGTATTCGTGCTACGTGAATGGAATACGGTAATAGGGAGATGCGAATGGGGACGAGGATACTGCAATGCGCGGCTCCTTTACGTCAATGGATAGCGATTGTTGTTGACAAGCGGTGGTGGGCAAGAAGACAAGCTAAGTGCACAGTTCAGGGGAGAGGGACAGCGCGTGGGAATTGTGGGAGTCGAATGTGGTGAGGGGGGACTAATAAAATATGATGCTGACGGACAGGCGGACATTTCGAAATCGAGATGCGGATTTTGATGTTTGACGGCGCCAGGTGTTCGCGTCGATCGCCCTCCCCGTGGTCGCTTCGGCGTTCGCGAAATTCAATCGCCTCGCCTCGCTTCGCCCTGGCGTAAATTGTGGTTTCCGCTTCAGCTGCCCCGCGCCCCGTGATAGGTGTTGCTTCGACGCGAACCTCTCCGCACACGCGAATCGCTAGGAAAATACAATTTGCTGGGCAGTCGTCAAAGGGGACTGCTGGACTTTCGGCTGCCCGCACCAGGCCGTCGTGGCGTGTGGTGGTCTGCCCGTGCGTGAGCACGGTGCGCAAATGCAGAGGCTTTGCGCCACGGTTGAGTTTGGTGGGCTTGGGGTTGGGTGCTGGTTGGGAGTGGGGAGAAATGCGCGGCTCGATGTTTCGATCAAGCAACTCGTTCGTTTGTTCTCCCGTCCCCCACCCAATCTTGATGGTGCGACTCGTCTAAAGGGCATTTGCGCGGGAAATGGGCGAGGTCAAAAGACTTGTTCCCTCGCAATAGTGATCCAGCCCTTGTGCGAATGGGCTTACTGAGAAACTCTTACCTAAATACTTTCGTGCAGAGGGGCTTGTACTCGTAAGTGTTTACCTAAATGCCACAAGTTGCTGACGTGGAATGTTGATGAGGTGGAGGGAGGACTGTGCTTGTCTTGATGTGCACTTTCTTTGTAGGAAATACGGAACCTTGGCGAAACCTCGAATAAAGCTGAGAACCAGGGAGGAGCCCGATTGGCTCACCGTTTCGGGAATGTCATCAGTCTCACAGGGCTGTGTAACCAGGGTCAAGAGCTCCCGTTCGTGCGACGGCGAGCAAGAGCAGCCGTCAGCTAGACTGACGACGACGACAATGGTGACCACCTGTGAGTGTGACGTGCAAGACTCGAGCGAAGCGACAGACCCGATACAGTTTGTCTTCCTAAAATTCAGGATTTCCCATATTCACTGTAGTAGCACTGGATGAATTGCTGATACAGGACAAAAAATGTAACCACATGTTTATTATGGGCTGTGTGAAATAGTATAACAAGCAGCACATTTGATTTGAATGAAGGCGCATTCTGGCTAAAGCAAAATCAATCAATCATCCACGCACTAAGAGTATACAAGCACACTTATACACATGTTGCACTGTACAACCAAACATTTCTCTACTCCCTACAACTTTCACATACGGTAATTTTCACCAGTGTCATACCGTAAAGCAATATGGTGCCTCTCTTGTCGATCTACAAACAGTCAGCCTTGGCAGGTACCTCTCTGCTCCCGAGCCTAGCTACCGTACCATCGCCTCCCTTCTGCGTCCCTCCCCAAATTGCGCCTCGCAATTTCGTCTTGCTTTCTTTGGTCTACCACTTGCCCTCCCCATTTATCCCCCTATCCTATCTCTCACCATACTGTCTTTCCTGTTTCGAACTGCACTGGTTTTCCTCACCCACATGACTCAAGAAAATGATGTCACCTCTTTTCGAGGCACCCCAAGCCGCGCCACTCCCTCCTGCTCCTGCCTCCACTTCACTATCAGCCAAGGAGGCTTCTGAGTAAATTCAGAATGAATCTTTCTCCTCCCGCCCCCCCCCCTCTTATTTAATCTCATCTGAGCAACCTGTTCTATGAACCCAATCCCGTCCTCTGTGCAACGTCCCGGGCCGGCAGCACAGGCCTCACGCAGACTTTCGAGTCGACTTTTGAGTTCACTCAAAACTCCTCCTCCCGCCTCCCTTTCACTTTCACTTTCATTCGAGCGAACTGTTCTGTGAACCCAATCCCGTCTTCTGCTGTGTCGTACAAGGCTGGCAGCACAGGCCTCACGATGACAGCACCGGCAGCGTTGAAACCAGTGGCAGCAGTAGAAGATGTGGCAGCAGTGGCAGCAGTGGCAGCAGTGGCAGCAAAGGAAGAAGTGACAGCAGTGGCAATACTAGAGAGCTCCTCTTCCCGTCGTCCCTTCGCTTTCATTCTCATTTGAGCGAACTGCTCCGTGAACCCAATCCCGTCCTCTGCTGCGTCGTATAAGGCTGGCAGCACAGGCCTCATGCTGACAGCGCTGGCAGCATTGGAAGCAGTGGCAGCAGTAGAAGTGTCAGCACTGGTAGCACCACCAGAAGAATGATATTGTAATGGAACAGGCTGTTTTACTCCATCCTCTGCTGCCGCAGGCAGCAGAGGCCGCATTCTGGCAGCACTGGCAGCGCTGCCAACACGAGCAACACTGGTTGTACGAGCAGCACTAGCGACACGGCCAGCACGAGCAGAGGTAGCAGCACTGGCAACACTGGCAGCACGGCTAACGCTGGCAGCGGCATGTACCCTCAGTTGAGCGAACTGCTCCGTGTATCCAACCTCTCCATCCTCTGCTGCATCATAGAAGGCTGGCCGTAACGGCTCCTGAAAACCCGTCTTCCCATATCCCCCACCCACAGAAGCTGTCTCTGAAACAGTGACCAAAAGCTCGTTGCCGTTGTCATTGTTGGCCCTGCTTTCGCTGCCTGCATGCTGCTGCTGCTGCTGATGCTGTAGTAGGTAGTGTAGATCAGCCACAAGCTGAAGCTCTTGCAGTTCCTCCTCCAACGCCCCATCCGACCAATCATCCGCAATTTCCAGCCCATCCTCCTCCGTCTCCTCATTCATCTTCCTGTCCGCATTCCCCTCCTTCTGCTCCTCTTCCTTGTCCCAATTCCGCTCCCTACCTGCGACCACTAATGCGTCCCCCTTCCCCTCCTTATTCTCCTTCGCAATCTCCTGCTCCAACACCCCACCACTCCCATCATCCGAATCAACACCCACAACACCCCCTCCTTCACTCCCAGCACCTAAAACACTCAGTTCTGGAGGCAAGGGCTCATTCTCCCAGGGGCCTGGAGCTGCTGCGGCTTCATGGTACATTCGGAGCAAATCCAGAGCATCTTGCCTGCGCATCTTGCCCTGATTCAGTAACTCTTTTAACGAGTCTCTTCCTGAGGAAGCATCATATGACGATGCACAAGGAGTGGCAGAAGAAACGGCAGATACAGGGCCGGGAGTAGAGGCAGGTGTAGAGAGGTTACCAACGGTAACACCAGGAGGAGGAGAGGAGGTATATCCGGTAGGGGGGGAGACCAGTGGTCCTCCACGGGCATAAGGAAGCAGAGCACTGGGTGGAATGCGAAATGATCCGCTATAAGGAACTGGCGAGGGCAGTGCTCCGTTATAAGGAATGTATGCTATTCCTCCGCTTTGCGTGCTGGACTGCGCAGGTGATGGGGATGCGTAGGCACCATGGGAGAATTTCTCAAACGAAGGCATGAGAGCTGAGGCCTGAGGCTGTTTCGTTATAATCACAAGCTCAGACATGCATTCAGGAGCAACAGGTGCATAAAGCGAAGGTCCCGCTGCTGGTTGCTGGCATGAATTCGAATCTGAGGGCGATATCTGAGGCACCTCAAGCATTGACTGTTGCAGCTGCAGTTTTGATTGAGGTTCTGTGGACGGTTGGCTGGATTGCTCTGTCAGCACGGGGGGTTCGCCCGACCGCTGTGATTGGCTGGAGAGCCAGTGGTGGAAGCGGAAGAGGCGGAGGAAGCGAGCTCTGGCTCGTGGATCGAACTGGGGTGAGGAAACGACCGACCGTGCCACGTCAGCGCCCGAAAGCGAATCAGGAACAGCACCTGAGATAGTATTTTTTTGCAATGTAGCAACTTCTCCTTCGGCCTTTCCTTCTCCTCCACCACATTCCGTTCCTTCTCCCGCTCCTCTTCCCCCTGCACCTGCGGTTCCTTCTGATACTTCCACTGCTGCATTTTCTGGGGACCCTCCCCTTCCACCTTCTGCTCCTTCTGCTACGACTGCCACGTCAGCCATTCCTTTCTTCTTCCGCCGGCCGTCTCCGCTGTTACGCTCGTTTCCACGCTCCCTTATCATATCACCCATGCCTGTCACTTTGCTCCGCATCTTGATGGAAAACCGCTGCAGCAAGCTGCTGGAGGGCCCAGGTTCCGACGTCGTATTACTAGAGGGTAAATCGCAAGCTCCAGGTTCTGGAACCTTGATATTGCCTTCGTTAACAACGTCCGCAGCGTCACATTGTGTCGGGTTTTTTTGCGTGGTCGCTGCCATTCGCACGGAGCCGTCGTCAGCTTAATGGGCGAAAAATGAAGTAGATGTTAACAAATATATAACAATATTAATAATAATACGGGAACGAGTGGGAAAACGACGCTTGCAAATGGTAAACCTAGGTAGTAAAGTTGAGATTTGACGATAGGAGGCGGGAAAATATCCGGATATCAAACGGTGTGGACTTGATGGTAAGGGATTCTGAACGGACAAGGGAGTTTGCCTCTAAGAACGTGTATGGGTGAGCAGAGTGGAACCATCCATTGTTTTGCGCAAAGAATTGACAGGAGGAACGGAGGCGAATGATGGGAGAAGAAGAAGCGACTTTGCAAAGTGGGGCTTTGCCTGCGTCGTTGGTCTGATTCCTAGTGCTAAGTGAATAAATATAAGCAATAAGATGCCACTTTTGCCTTGGCAGGCGTGTGGGGAGCAGGCCTGCATGTTATTCAGTGCGATTCAGAAAGTTTCCAAACGGTTAAAAAAGTTGATTCAAAACCAGCCGCTCTGGACCTCAATGCACCAGACAAGACCGTGAAGCGTAAACCTGCAAAAGATCATGCAAGTTGAGCAGCGGCCAGTTTTGGAACATTTTAGAGCACAGTTTAGCCAGTTTTGCCCCCCTTTGCGAAAGAAACAAGGCAGCCTTTTTTTCCCGCGCGTTCTAGCAGGCTGACTACTGCCATGTCCGCTCGCTTCCCTGTTTCCAGGTCTGTCCGGGAAACTATTTTCAATCCAGTTAGGTCACCAGGTCGCACGGGTATCAGTGCGGGTGGCACGACTTCATCCGCAGCCGCGTTCTTCTCCAGTGAAGCCGCAGGCCCTGCGGGTCCGAAGAATCCTCTCCCGGGCCCGCGATCCACTCGGCTCTTTCGCGTGCTGAACCCCGAGCTCTTCGTGAAGCCGAACGCGGCGGTTGCGCTGGTCGGGACGGTGGCGTTCGTGGGTGTCCTGGGATCGCTGTATCTGGAGAAGCAGACAGTGGAGAAGAAGAGAGCGGAGGCGAAAGCAGCGGCTGAAGCGACGTTGTTGGCGTCTGGCCGAACGCTCTCCTCGGACGACAGGGTTTAGTCAGATTGGTACAGTAGGGTGCACGGAAGTAGTAATTTTGTTTCCGTGAATGTAGGTTTAGTAGCTATTTTAGACTTCCCACACTGCCCCATACGGACGATAGTTTTCTCCATGAAATGCTCTGCTCGGGGATGTTGGGTGACATCATCAGCAGGTCTCGTAGAGGCGCCATGCCTTTTCTTCAATGTGCTGTCATCAGTGCCGCATATGCGCTAGTAATCGTGGGCTCAGCAAAGCCTGAGCTCGCAAACTGCAGTCATGCAGGTGAGGTGCGTGTGTACTTCCGTGGGTTGTCTGCCCAAACACAATCCTGAGCACCCATTTTGATTGTAGTTACACACCATGCCGTGGTGTCTGTGTCCCTGTTCTGTTTTCCAGGCCTTCCTTTTGTAAGAAGCATTGATTCAATCCCGTTGTCAAACTTTGGCCGCCCTGGGCTGTCTCACGCTACAATTGCGGGCCATGTTCACCATGGCACGCAAGAGGTAAGCATGTAACTGGTTAGGCTCGCATCCCTTGGTTTTAGGCATCACGGGTATATTAATGAAAACTTCTGTGATTTGTTATCAGGTAGAAGTATGGATGCAGACCTTTGCTCCTGGAAGTGGAACTCCCATTCACAGACATGGATGTGAGGAGCTGTTCGTAGTCCTCAATGGTACAGGGAAGCTGCTGTTTGCCCCAAATGTCCCTGATCTTGATGCACAAGACACAATGCAGGCACCAGAAAGAAAAAAGGAGCAAAGCATACCAGGTCTCCCTGTTTCTAGACCCATCAGTTCGAACATGACTTTCATAGTGCCTTCTAATAAAGTCCATCAGGTATTTGCTCCCTGTTTTGTTTATAGGTTCTATAAACGTCCATCTGTAAATCACTCCAAGGTTTATTCCTGACCATGTGTGCTGCAGATCTTGAACAGCGCTCCTGAATGTGGCTCAGAGTCCTGCAACTTGCTGCAGATTCTAGTCATCATATCTGAACCTCCAATCCACGTGTAAGTTGAGGAAGCAATTATGTCTGTGTTGAGTACAAAGTTCTTCTGTGATACTACATGCATTTCGTGCTTTTGCAGATATGCCTACAACTCATGGGATCTTCCACATAGGCAGGCTGTTCTCAAGTTCCCATACCCGTGGGATCAACTGTGTCCTGATGCATTTCCTCAGTAGTCCGTGCACCGATGAACAAGTTTCCAGTAATGGGGTCTATTTGCTCGCAGCAAATATGCATGGCCCAATGTCAAATTGATCTTCCGTAGGATACTGGTCCTTCAGAGCTTGCAGCATGTCTTGTGTCAGCAATGGTCGCACCATTTGTTCAGTGCCATCCAGGCTGGTCCATGTTCTTGTAATCCCTTGACATTGGTTGCTCTCATCAAGCGGAACCCAGCTGAAGGAATGAAGTTTCTCCCGAAATTCGCTGAGGGGCACTCTGTTGATGTTCTTCTGGGTGTAAATGAACTCCAGAATACCGTCTATTAGAGGAAGCGGACCCATGTTTTGTTCAATTAGGATCGTCCTCAGTTGTTGCTTGGACAATAAAAGATGCCCCCACGGAGGAATGAAGGATCCATTATTCGCATATCTGCAGGTTTTGTCACCTGTTAACTTGGCCCAAGAAGACGCAATGAAAAGAAAGCAGTGAGAAACATACCTGAATGAAGCATTCATCCTTGTAGCTCGTCGTTGCACCATATCTTCGTGTATGTGGTGGCCAAAGGGTCCCGTCCATACAGGGTCCCATAAAAACAGAACTAGCCCTCCAGGCTTTAAGACGCGGAACGTCTCACTGATAAACATCTTCAAGTCAGCAACGTGCTCCAGAACGTTGTCGCTGAAGACTACGTCAAATGTGTCGTTCAGGAACGGCAGAGTCTTGCAGTCGGTGCTCAGAAACATCGTGTTATTTCGCTTGACTTTCAGCGCCGAAGTGTCATCCCCTTCAAAAGGGCAGTTAACGCCAACGTACTTGCCAACCACTTTTCCCAGCTCATTTCCAACGCTTCCGGTCACATCACTACCGTTCTCCAGCATCGTAACGTTGCTGAGATCTGATCCAAGATGCCTCCGCATGAAGTCCAGCAATGTCGTGACGCCTCTCAGTCGATATAGTGGAAGTGGGTCATCTCCTGACGTTTCATCGTTTCTCTCTGCCGGAACTGTCACAAGCAATCTGGAACTACGTTCGTAAACGACTGGAATTCCAAGTGTTTTAGTAGCATCTGCACATGCGCAAGTATCAGCAACCATCGGCTGAGAATTTATGAATTCAAATGCTCCATCTCCAACAAGCAGGAGAATGATTGTAAGGAGGCCGAGCGTCGCTCCAAACAGAAGAGATGTGCTCTGCTGTGACTTCACATGATCTCTAACCAAAGTGTATGTCTTCGGCATCTTAGCCAAAAATGTAGCGATAGTTGCTAGCTGCTTCGTTGGAGAAAATGAGGAGTGTGGAAAGCGAAGCAGATAGATGTGGAATGGATGTGTGTTGGAGGGTATCTGGTTGAAATGAAGAGCAGAACTTGAACTTGTGGATAGGGAAGAGCAGAAAGTCTTGAGAGTTTCGGCCTCGAGAACACCACATGGTTGAAGCAATTCGTGAACCAATCAGGGAGCAGGACGCTATCAGGTGCGGCGAATTGACGGCGTTGTGTGGGTTGTTTATTCGGTTTTCTGAAGTCACCCCAAGAGTTTTCCTTCTGTGAAATGAAACCATATTGATCGATGTCCGACCCAGCGCACCATTTGAGAATTCTGGATAGCACCTCCTCGTCCTAAGTGTGGGTCTCCCACATAGCAAGTTAGATAATAAAATATATTTGTGCTTCCACCGAAAATCCAATTTTCCATGCATCGAGAGATCCCCCCCCCTCCGATCAACTGCATCGGGACAGGATATGCTCCTTCAACTGTTCTTCCACTTCCACACAAATATGGCAATCCCCATACTCCTCGCTTCCTTTCTGTGGAGCTATGGCTTCCTAAAGCTGTAGCTCCATTTCTTCAGCGGCTCCATTGATCTGCCTAACAATACCGTAAGAGAGTCGTCTTCACTCTCTTCTGACCACTGTCGCCGTTCGGTATTTTATTAAACATTAAAAAGGGAAAAACAAATCTCCGAAATGGCGAACAACCGCACCGCAATCAGCCGGTTCCGTGGCTCCTTTGAAGACCTAGTCGGTTCCTTACCCATAACCGAGCCTCTTCTAAGCGGCCGAAGCCCGTTAGATTTCTTCTACGGGCTTCCCTATCGTCCTAGCCAGCCATCGCCGTCACCATCCCCGCAAACCGCCATCGGATCTTCTCTCACCGGCCTCCCACCATCGGACAGAGAGTCCGATTATATCGAGGATGGAGCCGTTCCTGTTCCTGGCCGAGCTCCTGGAGTCAACCCCTACATTGTCCTCCCGGGAAGGGGAACTAGACCTGGGTCTCGTCCTGGTACTGCTCCGACTGTCAGTAATCAGCATGCTCGGCGTACAGGACCCCCTCAAGTCCCCTTTCCCGGCAATCGAGCCATTCCTCCCGGTCGCCGGCCCCATGTCCAGCGATCACCCTCCCCTTTCGGATCTCTCGCGTCGCTTCACGAAAAGGTTCCGTTTCTGCCTGATGAGGAAGAAGGAAGAGAGTCTCTCGAGTCTGCTCATGGGTTACCTGAGAGGGAGCCGCCATCCCCGCCGCCTTCCCCGCCGTCCCAGCCGTCCCGTCCGTCCCAGCCTCCGCATCCGTCGCAAGCGCGCGTGGTTACTCGAGCTCGGGAGGATGGGTCCACGTCGTTAAAGAGTTCCATATTTAATCTCTCGAACACGATGATCGGCGCGGGAATGATGGCCTTGCCTGCAGCTATGAACGTCCTAGGAGTCGTGACCGGGAGTGTAGCGCTTATCTTCGTGGCGTTATTGACTTATGGGTCCGTCATGGCCATGGTTCGCTGCACCGTCGCCGCTGCTGCTTCGTCATCCCCTTCTGAAAATCCTTCGCCCAACGGTGTTGGCAACCGCAGTTTTAGCATGCGGGATGAGGAGAAGCTGAGTTATAACCACACGGTAGCAACGGCTCTGGGAAGCGCAGGACGGCTGGTGCTGCAGGTGTCGATCGTTGTCAACAACTTGGGCCTCATGATAGTGTTTCTTGATATCATCGGTGAGTGGTGGTGATTGTTGTCAACAATTTGGGCCTCATGATGGTGTTTCTTGATATCATCGGTGAGTGGTGGTGATTGTTGTCAACAATTTGGGCCTCATGATGGTGTTTCTTGATATCATCGGTGAGTGGTGTTGATTGTTGTCAACAATTTGGGCCTCATGATGGTGTTTCTTGATATCATCGGTGAGTGGTGGTGATTGTTGTCAACAATTTGGGCCTCATGATGGTGTTTCTTGATATCATCGGTGAGTGGTGGTGATTGTTGTCAACAATTTGGGCCTCATGATGGTGTTTCTTGATATCATCGGTGAGTGGTGGTGATTGTTGTCAACAATTTGGGCCTCATGATGGTGTTTCTTGATATCATCGGTGAGTGGTGGTGATTGTTGTCAACAATTTGGGCCTCATGATGGTGTTTCTTGATATCATCGGTGAGTGGTGTTGATTGTTGTCAACAATTTGGGCCTCATGATGGTGTTTCTTGATATCATCGGTGAGTGGTGGTGATTGTTGTCAACAATTTGGGCCTCATGATGGTGTTTCTTGATATCATCGGTGAGTGGTGGTGATTGTTGTCAACAATTTGGGCCTCATGATGGTGTTTCTTGATATCATCGGTGAGTGGTGGTGATTGTTGTCAACAATTTGGGCCTCATGATGGTGTTTCTTGATATCATCGGTGAGTGGTGGTGATTGTTGTCAACAATTTGGGCCTCATGATGGTGTTTCTTGATATCATCGGTGAGTGGTGGTGATTGTTGTCAACAATTTGGGCCTCATGATGGTGTTTCTTGATATCATCGGTGAGTGGTGTTGATTGTTGTCAACAATTTGGGCCTCATGATGGTGTTTCTTGATATCATCGGTGAGTGGTGGTGATTGTTGTCAACAATTTGGGCCTCATGATGGTGTTTCTTGATATCATCGGTGAGTGGTGGTGATTGTTGTCAACAATTTGGGCCTCATGATGGTGTTTCTTGATATCATCGGTGAGTGGTGTTGATTGTTGTCAACAATTTGGGCCTCATGATGGTGTTTCTTGATATCATCGGTGAGTGGTGGTGATTGTTGTCAACAATTTGGGCCTCATGATGGTGTTTCTTGATATCATCGGTGAGTGGTGGTGATTGTTGTCAACAATTTGGGCCTCATGATGGTGTTCCTTGATAGTATCGGTGAGTGTAGCTCTTTCTTTTAAGTCTCAGAAAAGGTGTTGATTGTTGTCAACAACGTGGGTCTCATGATGGTGTTCCGTGATGTGATCAGTGAGGCTTTTAATACTTGTCCAGATTGCTAATAGCCGTGTTCATGTTAAGGTTCTGTGATTCGTGTTTGCTCAAAACAGTGTAATTTGTCCTCCCTGGGCCCATTGTCTCGGTATAAGCTGCATTGTTATGCAAATGCAAGGGAAGACAAAAATTCCTTGCTAAAGAATGCTTCCTCTACTTGCCTTTCTCCATGTTGATTTACCGTGTGTGACTGCAGGGGATGTGCTTGTAGGCAGCGCCACAGGACCCGGCGTTCTGCCCCTGGATCAGTTGCACTTGTCCCCAGATGTGGCCCGAAAGTCTATCCTCGCTATAGTCATTCTCCTTATCCTGCCTCTCTGCCTGCAGGATAGACTGGGTGAGTCTTACACTGTTTCGTTTGCAACGTTTTTTCGAGCAACTGTTGGACTTCTCAATGGCTAATATCTCAATGTCTCCATGTCTCAATGTTCCAACCATGTTTCATGTTCCAAGTTCCATGTTTCGTGATTGCTTTGCTCTCATTTCTCTCCCTCTCGCTCCTCTAATCTCAACCCCTCGTTAGCCCTCTACCTCTCCACTCCCCGTCCCCATCATTCGGGTCCTCTCCTCTCCATCTTCTCAACCTCTTATTTCTCCCTCTTCCCTTCCACCAATCAGGATCCATGAAGGTTGCAAGCAAGATATCAGTGGCCCTGGCCATTGCATTTGTGCTGCTCGTACTGATACTGTCTGGAGGGAAGATTGCAGCTGGTGCTGCCACCATGCCGCCTCTCTTTGCCACGTCTGGCAATGCCCTTGCCGTTTTCAGCGTCATCAACGTCGTCACCAACGCCTTCATATGCCATTTTAACGGTGAGTATGATGGACTGTTTCAAGTTTTCCTCTAGCAAGTACAAGTGAGTGGTCATGCCCTTGCTGTTTTCAGCGTCATCAATGTCGTCACCAACGCCTTCATATGCCATTTCAACGGTAAGATTGGATTCTATCAAGTCCTGCTTCAGAGAGTACGAATAAACGGTTATTCTCCTGCTGTTTTCGGCATCATCAACATTGTCACGACGAATTCCTTCTTATGACAAATCTGTGCTCTGTGACTTGTGCTCCAGCTCGCTTCATGCTTGTACATCTCTGCCAACGAACCGCTCTTCTCTCTGCATGTGCACAGTCTTTCGCTGCACGTGCTCTACGCCTTCCACTCCAACTCTCCTCATCCTCAACCATCAGTGCCTCATCCCACCCTACAAGTGGCCGCTCAGGGACCACCCTACCTATTTACAGAAAGCTCAGGGACCACTCTCTCCCCCCCATGCGCACAGTCATCCGCTGCTCGGTCATCATCATCACGTCACACTCCTCCTTCCCGCCCTACCATATCCCTTGCCTCCACCCCACCTTACCAGTGACCCCTATTTACAGGGAACTCAGGGACCGCTCGCTCCCCCGCATGCGCACGGTCGTGCGCTGCTCGGTCATCATCACAACCCTCGTCTACCTCCCATAACCATCTACCTATCCCGTTCCTTTCCATCCCATCCCCCCAGTGACCCCAATTTACAGGGAACTAAGGGACCGCTCGCTCCCCCGCATGCGCACGGTCGTCCGTTGCTCTGTCATCATCACCACCCTCGTCTACCTCCCATAGCCATCCATCCCTGTTGATCTTTCCCATTCCTGCCATTCCCTTTGCTCAGTTACCCCTATTTACAGAGAGTTAAGGGATCGCTCCCTTCCCCGCATGCGCACAGTCGTGCGCTGCTCGGTCATCATCACCACCCTCGTCTACCTCGCAGTCGGCATCTTCGGGCTCGTGCTCTTCGGCTCCGACGTACACACAGACGTCCTATACGATTTCGACACCAGCTTAGACGTCGTTCCAGGAATGAGCCCTGTGATCGCGGCTCATGCGGTTGCTCTAGGGCAGGGAGTGAAGGTTGGGTATGCGATTTCCAGGGTGCTTTCGCTGCCGCTGGCGCTGTTTCAGCTGCGGCTGGTTGTGGCGTCGCTGCTGTCGTCTTGTCTGGGAAGGAAAGGGAGAGGAGAGAGGGACGAGGGAAGAACCACAAGCAATGGCAAATCTGAAGCTGTAAATGGGGAAGCTGGTTTCAGCAGCGGACAGATGAAGGAGAGGACGAGGGTAAATTCCCTTGAATATATTCAGGTGGATGGGAATGAGGACGGGACGGAGGAGGCCGGGGAGGAGGAGGTGGGAGAAGATAGGGAAGGGGAAGAGACGGAGGGGGAGGACACGGAGGGGGATGAATCGGAAGGAGAGGAGGAAGAGGAAGAGAAGGCAAGGTTTGAAGAGCTTCGACGGGCAGAAGAAAAAGCAACAAAAAGGCGGCGTTTTTGGCGTCAAGTCCGCTTTGTACTCCTTACAGTGTTCCTCCTCGTTTTAGCCTTCTGTGGAGCAGTACTGGTGCCGGATATCTGGATTGTGTTCCAGTTTATGGGCTGTACTGCAGCGGTTATTATAGGGTTTGTTTTTCCTGGGCTGGTGGCTTTAAGGGCCAAGGGAGGGACTGTATCAGTGTCTGATATGGTGGTGGCATGGTTATTGGTGTTGGTGGGTGTAGCTGTGGGTATTATAGGTATTGTTGTTAATGTTGTTGTGCTGTTGAACACTGGCATGCCTTAAAGCCAGGATCTCAAGTGGTTTGGCTGTTTTGCAGTTAGTGAATTGTGTTAGGCTGTGATTGGTTGACGAGGTAGAGTAGTTGACGAGAGCTGAAACGAGGGATGCGAAGCAAACAAAAATCGCAGTGAACTTCCGAACCAACTAGGCACGGAAATCTGGTTGGGTTCCGAAGCTCATTTCCCAGCAATGTGTCTCACTTGCCGAAAAATCTCATGTACAGCAATTTGTTTTGCAATTGAGATTCACGGGCAAATCGGGGATCAGTCGCACACTGAGCCTCCAAGCCAACCACTCGATTTCGCCTAAACAAACAGGGTGACTCGAGCTGCAAGTGTTTTGCAATTGAAGCCAATTTCTCTTACTTGAGATCCTGGCTTTAATGCCATGTTAGGCACGTGTTGCATGTTACTGTACCTCGCATTGCTTTGCAACAGCATGTCTATTTGATTATATTTCCTGAATCTTGTGTCACTTATGATTTGCTTGCATGTGTTAAAGTATATCTGCTGTTTTCAGCAGCACTCTGCAAGTGCGCAGCATGTGGTTTGTCAGATCCACTTCTACCACCCAGGCAGCACCTTATATGCTATCTTCCAGGTTTTGGTTCGTCAGCATGTAGCATAGAACAATTTGCACACAAAGCAGCCCTTTTTTCACATCTTGGTTACACCATTATCTATAACTGTTATCATACCAGAGCGTTCTGTAACATCATGACAGCGTTACACATTCTGGTGCTGCTTCATCTTGGAGGGCGGCCATCTGCCCTTCTTCCTCAGCTTCCTCTTCTGCACCAACCGCTTGCGCCGCTGCTCCTCCTTCCGCGCCACCTTGATGTCCTCTGCTGACTGTAGCGGCAGCTCCTCCACTGCTGACGTGGCCTCCGCCACGTCAGCTGCCAGCTCGACCACTGGTGCGGTGGTAGTGGCGGCCTGGGGGACAGCGAGGCGGAGAGAGCGCATGGAGAAAGTGAGGGGCTCGCCTGGGGGAAGAGAGGGGGGGGGGGGGGGGGGGGGGGGGGGGGGGGGGGGGGGGGGAGGGGGCGGTGGGGAGGAGGGGGAGAGATGAAGGAGAATGAGGAACGGGAAAGGAAAGTGGCAAGGTGATGGGGAAGTAAAGGCACAGCAGCATGCGGCCTGGGGGACAACGAGGCGGAGAGCGCATGGAGAAAGTGAGGGGCTCGCCAGGGTGTGTGAAAAGAGGGGAGGGGGAATGGCGGGAGGAGAGAGCGGGGGGGAGGGGGAGGTTGGGGGAGAAGAGGGGGAGGGAAAAGGGTACGGGAAAGGTGAAGGCAAAGGGGCAGGGGGGGAGGCGCATAGAGCGCAGAGAGAGACTAGGGATTGCCGGGAGGGAGGGTGAGAATGCGGAATGCGGAAGGTAGGGAATGCGAGACCCCGAGACCAGTTCAGAGAAAGGGGAAAGCGCGTTAGGTGAAACGACTTGAAGTGTAGTGGGGAGGGAGGGGGAAAGAGACGCAAGAAGAATGCGTTGTTTAGAGGGGACGGAAGGGAGAGAGATAGGACTGAGGGATGCGGAGGGAACGGAGGGACAGTGGAGAACAGGGGAAGGGGAGAGGGACGAAATGAGTCGGGGTGAGGGAGTCACTTCGACTCAAGAGTGCTTCGCGCATTCCGACTAGCAATACGGGTGGTTGACAAAGATCGACGAAGTCCGGTGAAGGGACCGGGCGGGTTACATGGAGGTGTGAAATGAAGTACGCGGGATGAGCCAGACAGATGAGTGAACCAGGCGGATGAGGCACCGGTAAGTGGGTTCAGTACAGGCCCCAATTCCCTAGACGACTTTTGAGACGTCTCAAAAACCAGGCGGACGAGATAAGTAGGTCCACCTCAATACACGATTCTTCTAGACGTCTCCGACACAGTCGCGACGCGAGAGCTGAACACGCACAACTCGAACTAAGCACGCAGAGGTCGAGCGCGATTTACTAATGCTACAGCGCTTTATCTTCTCTACTCCCACACTTCAATGTCTGCCCCTTCACCTGCACCGCCATTCCGAAGAGCCGCGAAAGAGCTAGGAGTTCCGTCCAGGCTCATTTTTGCAACCTGTGCTGCCTAGAAGAAGCTCTACCAGGGTCAAGGCGCATGCCAGATAATGACATTCGCACACTACTATTTGGCGAAGTTTCTTGCACGCGTGAACGTTATGCTAAGGGTCGGTAATCTTACAATATGCAGCGAACCCTCAGACCAGCCGTAGCTTCTCGTAGGTGATGAAGGAAACATACTCTACTCTCAGGTTCAAAAGCCCCTGAAACTAAGTTTGACCCTAACCCTAATCAGGGAGCCTAAGCCTGAAACTATTAGCGAACGGGCCTGAGATCTACGGTACTTACATGCGAGGCTCTTGCTCCGCGACGAGACGGTGGAGAAACTGGCGGAAACCGCGGCGGAGCTAAGTGCGGGAAGCAATGTCGCCATGGCAGCCATGGCGGAAGCCTGGACCCGACGGATGCGGCGGATCGTACGGAGAAAACAATGTGCGTCAGGCAGAACGACGCTGAACAAGCAGCAGAAACCTAGAAGAAATAACTAGGTAAGTAGAAATAACCGCAGGAGCCAAAACCCTTCGGGCTGGCCTGCAAGGAAACCGGCCTTGCGGGGGAGATGGGGGGAAAGCGCGGCCAGATGTGCTCGGGCGGAAAATTACTGGCGGAAAATTGGCGGAAATCCAGATGGGAGGAAGGGAGCAGGGGCGGGAAGCGGAATGGGGGAGCGTGGAAGTGAGAGGGTATGGGCTGATCTGATTGGTGTTGACACGACGCTCGGGGAAGTCTCAAGGATGGCATCAACGCATTGCGGATGTGATCCCCAGCACGGTTTAGTTCGTTGCAATACGGTCAAAGGCAGTACGGCATGAAAATAGTTTTCAACCGTGTTGAAACTTACTGAACCGCACTGGACGATGAACGAACTAACACTGGCTGTTCCATGGATGGGACTGAGGAACACGTGGCAGAAGGCAAGGTGTCAAATGACACGTCAACGCGAAGTCACATAAATATTACGCGTCAGTAGACGACTTCATAAGAACAAACAGCAAGCAAAGTGGGCTAAGTTACACGCACAAAAGAAAGAAAACACATACGACTAGAGTAAAAACTATTAGCCCTATACATGATACATAGCGAAGAATTCTTAGCACACCACATGCCCATGAACGCCTCCGCCTCGAGCTTGTGCTGCTACAAGCGTCCGGTTGGCCGCTACAACCGCCGCTTTCGTTGCACTGCGCAATGCATCAGCCAACGACCCCAGTCTCAGTGCCGAACCCCATTGCTGCGTACTCACTATAGCCATCTCGTTGCTTCCCGCAGTCCCATCGTTATTTTCCACGCCTCCATTGTCACCCATTTCCTTCATCACACCCACTTCCACCAAGACCGCAACTTCCCGGAAATCCACCACTTCACGAAGCACCTGCACCATCACCCGGCCACCATAGGCCGCCTCCAGCTCAACGATTGCCGCCAGCGCAGCAGCGTCCACGTCAGCATCCTCTGCTGCAGCATGTTCCGAGCCCTCTTCCGAACCATGACTTTCCAACCTCGAAAACACCCGACTGTCATTTCCTCCTCCTATTCCTCCTCCTGCTTCTCCACCCACCTGTGCCGTAACCGCCCCCTTATTATGATTACTCGGAATCGCAGCAGCCGCAGCTGCAGGAGCAGCCGCAGCTGCAGGAGCAGCCGCAGAAGCAAATGAAGCAGAACCGGTGGAACCAGAGATAGCAGCAGCAGCAGCAGCCGTGAGAGGGTCATCGCCGTCGGTAGATGTGCTGCTGAAAGGACTGAGAACCACAGCAGCAGCCCCAGTGGAAACGCCATGTGGGTGCGCTCCAGTAAGGGTCATGCCTGCCATTCCAGCCATCACATGTGCTGCCCCAGATGAACCTGCCCCAGATAAGCCTGCTCCAGTCTGCACTCTCCCTGCAGCAGCAGCACCAGCAGCCATGCCAGTTGGGGCAGACAGAGAAGCAGGGAGGCTTCTGGAGAGAGTGGGAGGTACAACTGGTGCAGCTGCTATCTCCTCGGCACTACTCCACACCCCCACCGACGAATACACCACCCCTTTCACCCGGTTACTCAAGTAACAGCTCATCATGCCACCTGGCGCCAGGCTGGCGTGGCCCGCCGCCATGTCAGCGCCAGCGTCAGCAGGGTCGGCGTGATTGGAACGGCCGGCGAAGGGGAGCGAGAGGGAGAGGCGGAAGGATGAGCCTTGCGAGAGGGTAGAGTGGCAGGAGAGAGTGCCGTGCATGAGTGAGGCAAGCTTCTGACTGACGATAAGTCCCAGGCCTGATCCTGCTGGGGCAGAGGAGCTGCTGGGAAAGAGGGGCAGATGGAAAAGGGGAGGGAAAGTCACACAACAGAAGGAAGGAGGAGCCTTTGGAGGGGGGGGAATGGCAGAGTCGCAAGAGAGAGTGCCGTTCATTAGAAAGGCGAGCTTCTGGCTTACTATGAGGCTCAGGCCCCACCCTTCTGGGGTAGAGGAGCTGCTGGGAAAGAGTGGGAAGAGGGGGTGGGAAAGGTGGAAAGAGGAGCCTTGGGAGGGAGCAGATTGGCAAGAGAGAGAGAGAGTACCGTTCATTAGAGAGGCGAGCTTCTGGCTTACTATGAGGCTCAGGCCCCACCCTGCTGGGACAGAGGAGCTTCCTGTGAAGGGGAGAGGGTGAGAGGTGGGAGGTACGAGGAGGGAGGTGGGAGAGAAAAGCACATAGAGACGGAATGAAGAGGGTCAAAGGCCTAGGAGAGGAGGTAGAAGCCTTGGGAGGGAGGGGGCAGAGTGGCAGGGAGAGTTTGGAAGATCCATGGCTGAGAGCATATGCTGCTGCTCCTGCCTCCTTGCTTAACCCACCACCCACCACCCACCACCCACCACCCACCACCCACCACCCACCCGCCAACCCCCACCTGCCAACCACCACCCATCAGAGCAGCGTGACTCACCGGGATTCAGTGTCAGAAGCACCACTTGAGATGGCCGGTGCTAAGCTCGGATCCATGCCCGAAAACACATGCTGCCGCTGCTCCTCAGTCAACCCACCATCCACCACCCAGCACCCACCCAGCACCCACCCCCCACAACCCAGCACACACCTCCCACCAGCATCGGGAGTAGTAGCAGCCTTACTCACCGCGATTCAGTGTCGGAAGCACCACTGGAGATGGCTGGTGCTAAGCTCGGATCCATGCCCGAAAACACATGCTGCCGCTGCTCCTCACTCAACCCCGGGCCTGAATCCGCCACACAAAAGACGAACGGAAAAATCTCCTCCCCGTCAGCCGAAACTTTTCGGCCCTGCCCGGTCCGCTGCCCAGTCTGCTGCCCAGGCACGAGCCTTCCGGCCAGCGCGTCTCTTCCGTACTTGTTAGAAGCCACTTCGCCGGATGCTTTATAGAGCTGCACCTCGACCCAGCCCTGCTGGGTGTACTCCACTGCGTTGCGGAAGAAGTTTGCAACGATCTGCTGCACGCGGTGCTTGTCGCCCTTTACAATCACATCGGCACACTGTGGCTCGACCGAGCAGAACACTTGTAGGCCCTTGTCGCTCGCATTCTCATGCTCCTGTGGTTGGGAGGATTTGGAGGATGGGGATGGAGGGGGGAGAGGGGGGAAAGGAGCAAAGGGGATAGGGTTGGAACAAGGGGAGGGGGGATGCAGGCAAATCAGAAAACCTGCAGCTACATGGCTATGTGTTATTGCACATGGCTAGGGAGAGAGGGGCATTCCGACCCACCCACCAATCCACCTCCTTAGCCACCTAATCACCCTCCCCCACCCACCCACCCACCCACCCACCTGTGCAATCACAGCGTCAACCGCGTGGATGAGCTCAAACAGCTCACTCTCCACCTCCAGCTTGCTTTGGAGGAGAGTCACAGGGCTAAGGGAAGAGGTGGGATCCGATCCGACTCACCCAACTACCTGTGGGACTGCCACGTGGAAAGGAACTCACCTGTGCAATCACAGCATCCACCTCGTGAATGAGCTCAAACGGCTCGCTCTCCACCTCCAGCTTTCATGGAGAGGGGTTACACAGGTAAGGGAAGAGGTAGCCATTCACCCACCTGAGGGACTGCCATGAAGGAATAATCTAGCTACCCACCTGTGCAATCACGGCGTCAACCACGTGTATGAGTTCAAACGGCTCGCTCTCCACCTCCAGCTTGCCCTCTTCTAGCTTGCTCAGATCCAATACATTGTCTACCACTCGCCGTAAATACTTGCTGTAAAGAGGGGTGAGGAGGGATGCAGAGGGGTAATGAGGGGTGAATCACAGCTCCAGTCCACTCTCCACCTCCAGCTTGCCCTCCTCTAGCTTGCTCAGATCCAACACATTATCCACCACGCGTCGAAGATACTTGCTGTTGAGGAAATACAGAGGGGTGACGAATGGTGAAGAGCGGTAAATTGAGGTGCTGTGGTGAAAAGGGAAGCCCGCTTGCTTCTTTCCGGCTCGCTCTCCACCTCCAGCTTGCCCTCCTCTAGCTTGCTCAGATCCAATACGTTATCGACGACCCTTCGTAGGCACTTGCTGAACAGAACAGTAGAGAGGTTGGGTAATTACCTCCGTGGTAACAATCATGAAGCTCGATCGCACCCGAGGTAAGCCACGTGCCCAGATCGTAACAAAAGTTTCGTGTCATCGCCACCGTGGTAACCAACACGTCTACATGGTCAACATTATTGCCTGAATGGTAATGAACAGTGCATCCGGAATTGCTGGCTGGTAACTTCGCGTTCCAACCAGACTGTACACCGTACAAGTAGGGCTTGACTCAGCGAAAAAGAAACCGACTCTCCACGTATACCCCACAGAATGCGCATTTCGGTTTATAATATCCGCGTTTTCAATCCCACACATTAAAACGTCGATATGCTAACTCGTAGTCTGTTTTAAGAAAAAAAGACTGAATGCATTAACTATCAAACAAACGCCACAAAAAAAACCACGCCATGTCAACTGTCAGAATGTTATAGTGCTTACATTTGTGTAGGCTATAGTGGGGTAGCCCATAAGGGGTACAACCTAATTAGGGTTAGTACTTGTACCCAACTCTTTCATAGTTCATTCATTCTCGTTCGTTATTCTGACATGGTTTCAGAGCAGGTCCTTCGTTAGGACCGTTTTTTTTTTGGCCCACCACAGCACTGCCCCACTAACCGCCCCTAGAGACCCTCGTGCCGCACCTGCTGCCCCGCGCACCACCCTCATGCGGCCTGCCAATCGACCCTAGGCCCCGCCCGTCACCCGTCGCCCCTAGGCCCCGACCCGTCGCCCGTCGCCCCTAGCCCCGGCCCGTCGCCCCTAGGCCCCGGCTCGTCGCCCATCGCCCCTAGGCCCCGGCGCGTCACCTGTCGCCGCTAGGCCCCGGCCCGTCGCCCGTCGCCCCTAGGCCCCGGCCCGTCGCCCGTCGCCCCTAGCCCCGACCCGTCGCCCGTCGCCCCTAGGCCACGGCCCGTCGCCCGTCGCCCCTCGGCCCGTCGTCCGTCGCCCCTAGGCCCCGACCCGTCGCCCCCTAGGCCCCGGCCCGTCGCCCCTAGCCCCGGCCCGTCGCCCGTCGCCCGTCGCCCCTAGGCCTCGGCCCGACGCCCGTCGCCCCTAGCCCCGGTCCGTCGCCCGTCGCCCCTAGGCCCCGGCCCGACGCCCGTAGCCCCTAGGCTCGTCGCCTGTCGTCCCTAGGCCCCGGCCCGTCGCCCGTCGCCCCGCGCCCGTCGCCCATAGGCCCTGGCCCGCCCGTTGACCCCAGGCCCTGCACGCCGCCCCTTGCGGCCCGCCCCTCGCCCCTACAGCCCGCGAGCCGCCCTTGCAGCCCCGCACGCCGCCCGTGGTGGCCCCCTAGCCGCCCCATGCGACCCGCCCGCCACCCCTAGGCCCTCGAGCCGCCTCTACTGCAGCCTGCTTGCCGCCCCTCTCTACTGCTTGCCCTGTTCCCTGCGCTTCCCGGCTTCTGCCCGCCCTGCGTGCTGCGCCGCTATGGCTTCTCTCCGCGTTCTAGCGTTCAATCATGAGGGCCGCCCGATTGAGTTTGACACGTGGCTTGACAATCTGCAGCTGTACCTACTGAGCGACTCTAGGGACAGCGTTTCGTTGTTTGACCACACATCTGGAGCCTCTCCCGCCCCTCCCGCCACAGTTGACAGTGCGACTCGCTCACAGTGGCTTACTCGTGACGCTGCTGCTCGCTTAGCCATTCGCAACCACCTGCCGTTAGCCGAATGCGCTCACTTCGGACAGCACAGGACAGCACAGGCACTGTACGACGCTGTAGTCGCCCGTTACTCCTTGCCTGCCACTGCTGCTCTAGGCCGTCTTCTGCTGCCCTACCTGTTTCTCGAGCTGTCCGCCTTTGCCACAGTAGAGGACCTGGTTTCCCACCTTCGCACTAGCGTCGCTCGCTACCACGCTGCCGTCCCAGCTGAGTTCCTTGTCAGGAACCAGCCTCCGATGTTCATCACTCTCTACTTTATAGTCACCCGCCTCCCTGACTCTCTTCGCTCTGTCAGGGACCACTTTCTCTCACTCGACCCCACAGTCCTCACTGTTGACATACTCGAGAAGCACCTCCTTGCAGCTGAGACTAGTGTAGTCGCTGTAGGTGCTGCTCGTGACACTCCGCGCACGCCCTTCTTTGAGGGGTGCTCCCCCTCCCCCCCTTGCCCCCTCCTACGCCTCTGCTACTGCTATTGACGTCCCTGGTGCTGAGGACGTCGGGGCTGCTTCTGCTAATGCGAAGCGCCGCAGCAGCAAGGGCAGGGGTGGCAGGAGTGGTGGTGGTGGCAGCGGGGGTGGTGGTGGGGGCAGCAGTGGAGGTGGTGGAGGCAGTAGAGGTGGTGGCGGTAGTGGGAGTGGTGGCGGGAGTGGTGGCGGGAGTGGGGGCTTTGGTGGAAGCGGTGGTGGCAGCGGTGGGGGTGGCGGTAGTTGCGGCAGTGGGAGTGGTGGTGGTCGGGCTGGAGCTACTCAGCGTGGAGGCTCTGGCGCTGGCCAGAGGCAGCAGCAGCAGCGTCGGAGCGAGACCCCGTCGCCCCAGAATCTTCGTGAGTGGTTCTCTCAGCGTGGGACGTCTGGGGGTAGTGCTAGCTGCCCGTATGTCATTTGCACGGGTGACCGTGCTGGTCAGACATGCGGGAAACCTCACACTCAGCACCGTTGCTTCTCCCGCCTAGACGACGCTTGGCGCGCAGAGTTTGGTGACGAGGCCGAGCGCCCCCGCTGGGAAGAGCTGCTTAGATCTGGAGTTGCTATCTTTGACCTAGACTTTGATGATATCTTTGCTGCTATGTATGCTGTCTGTTAGTGTTGAGGGTGACTGTTACATGTGTGTGCCGCCTGACCTAGGTATAGAGGCTGTTGCTCTAGGTGCTAGTGAGTCTGCTCTCCCTGATACTGCGCCTGCTGAGGCCTTGCACACCTTTACACTTGACTCAAGTGCTTCACGGTGTTTCTTTCGCGACAGCACCACCCTCACTCCTCTCTCTGCACCTGTACCGGTCAGACTGGCCGACTCTTCCGGGGGCCAAGTCCTTGCCCGTTCCTCCACCGTTCTCCCGTGTCCGGCGGTTCTGTCCGGCTCACTGTCAGGCCTTCACCTTCTCTCGTTCTCTACGAACTTGGTGAGTACCGCTGCCCTCCAGGACGCGATGGTCACTACCACCACTCCTGGGGGTCAGCGTGTGTCGATCTGCACGTGTACACGGATGGGCCGCCACCTGGCCACGTTAACTCGTCGACCTGGGTCGAGTCTGTACACACTGGCTACAGAGCCTCCTCAGGAAGCTGCGTCTGCTCAGGTGTCCGCGTCAGGTCTGGTAGCACCCCCTTGCTCGTGTCGCCTCCTGTCGCACCAGACTCTACTGCGGAACCACCGCCTTGGTCACCCCTCCCTGCAACGCATTGGTCACCCCTCCCTGCCACGCCTTCGTGGCATGCACTCCCACCTCCTTGTCTCTGCTCTTCCCAGTTCTCTGCCTCCCCTCCCGCCCTCGCCGGCCCCGCCCTGCCTTCCTTGCGTCGAGGGGCGGCAGCGCGCCGCTTCTCACTCCTCCTCGTTTCCACCGACGACTGCTCCCCTGCAGACGCTCCACATGGACGTGTGGGGCCCAGCCCGCGTAAGTGGACAGGGCCGCGAACACTACTTTCTACTGGTCTTTGACGACTACACAAGGTACACCATGGTCTTCTCCTTGCGCAACAAGGATGAGGTCCCTGATGTCTTGATCCTTTGGATTCGCACAGTTCGTTTCCAGCTCCGCGAACGCTTCGGTACGGACCTTCTTGTCTTACGTCTGCACTCTGACAGAGGTGGTGAGTTCTCCTCCGACCTCTTGCGGGACTTTTGTCGTAGGGAGGGCATTCTCCAGTCGTTCACGCTTTCGGATTCTCCTCAGCAAAATGGGATTGCTGAGCGCCGCATTGGCTTAGTCATGGAGGTGGCTCGTACCTCCATGATCCATGCGGCTGCTCCTCATTTTCTGTGGCCGTTTGCGGTCCGGTACGCTGCGCATCAACTCAACTTCTGGCCCCGTGTCTCCTTGCCGGAGACCTCGCCTACACTGTGTTGGACGGGGAAGGTTGGCGATGCGTCGGTGTTCCGGGTCTTGGGTTCTCGTGTCTTTGTCCACGATACGTCCGCGGACAAGCTCTCCGCCCGCGCTATTCCCTGCGTCTTCTTGGGCTTTCCCCCTGATGCGCCTGGCTGACAGTTTTACCACCCCACCTCGCGCCGTGTCTTCCCCTCTCAGGACGTCACGTTTGACGAGTCGGTTCCCTTTTACCGTCTCTTCCCTTACCGCTCTGCCCCTCCCCCACCCCCACCGCACTTCCTTGCTCCAGGTCCCCCCTCCGGTAGACCTCCTCCCCCCCTAGGGTTCTGCTCCCTCAGGTGTGTCTCAGGTAGACCCTCTCCTTCGTCCTGCGCCTGTTGAGGTAGCTGTCGGCTTAGGTGCTGCTCGAGGTGTTGCGTCTGGTGGTGCTGCGTCTAGGGGTGCGGAGCCTGGGGGTGCTGAGTCTGAGGGTGCCGGGTCCGGGGGTGCTGACACTGGGGGTGCGGAGCCTGGGGGTGCTGAGCCTGAGGGTGTGGAGCCTGGGGGTGCTGAGTTAGGGGGTGCTAAGTTTGGGGGTGCCCAGTCTGAGGGTGCGGAGTCTGGGGTGCTGAGCCTCTGGGTACTGCTTCTTCTGGAGGTCCTGCGAGTGCTTCGCCACGTCTATCTTCCCGGCCGGAGCTTCTCTCCCGGCAGCAGCTGCGCGAGTGGTTTGCTCAGCACACCCGCCTTCGGAGTGGAGCTGCCGGAGCTGGAGACTCTGCATCTGAAGACACTGGAGCTGGAGGTGCTAGAGTTACTGCTGGAGCTGGTGGTACCGGAAGGGCTGCAGCTGCTGGTCCTGGAGGTGCTCGTACCAGGGGTACTGGAGCTGCCGGGACTGGTGGTGTTGGGGGAGCTGGAGCTGGAGACCCTACGGAGCCTTGAGCTGCTGGGGCTGGAGGAGCTGGAGCTGTTGGCGCTGGAGCTGGAGGAGCTGGAGCTTTTGACCTTGGAGCTGGAGGTGCTGGAGGCACTGTGCGGCCGCGACCGTACTTCGTTCAGCAGGTTCTTAGTGTCCCGCCGTCTACTGGCCTTACTCCTCCCTTACTGTGTCCACCGCCTGACCAGTCGCAGCCGCCGTTACAGCCAGCCTCCCCGCTGCCTGCTCCTTCTCCTTACACTGAGCAGACCGGCGGTCTTACAGAGCGTCGTGAGCCTGCGTCTCGTCCTGCCTCCCCTGTTCGCACTGGTCGTCGCGTTCCTCGTCCGCGTCCCCCTCCTCTCCTCGGCACCCACGCTATGGCACTTCGTTCTTCCTCTGTTCCACTGCGTGTTCCTCTGCCGCCTCCTCTTGAGTCCTCTCTTCCTGCCGTCCCTGACCCCGAGTCTCATCGAGCTTGTGCTGCCAGTCCCACTGTCTCTCGTCTCCTCGCCACTGTTGTCACTGACCCTTCCTTTGAGTCCACTGCTGCGTCTACCCTCGTTGCTGAACTGGTTGACTTTGCTGCTGCCAGTCGTCTAGACTACGCCACTGCTCTTGTTGCTGAGCCTGAGTCTGCCAGTCCTCCGTCCGTCGGGGGTGAGTGTGCTCTTGACACGGACGTCCTTGAGGACAGGCAGGAGGACTTTGAGTGTCTTGCAGCTGCTGTACCTCGTTTCGCTTCCATGCTGCTTGCCTCTGAGGGAGACCCGGATGCACCAGACATCCCGACCCCGCGGTATTACGAAGAGGCGATTACGGGTCCCTACTCCTCTCAGTGGCAGGCAGCCATGGATGCCGAGATGGCATCCTGGAAGTCCGCAGACACCTACGTCGACGCAGTTCCCCCGTCTCGGGCGAACATAGCCGATGGCATGTGGATTTTCAGGGTGAAGCGGCCGCCGGGTTCTCCGCCTGCCTTCAAGGCGCGTTACGTTGCACGAGGCTTCAGTCAGCGACAGGGGGTCGACTACTTCCAGACCTTCTCCCCCACCCCGAAGATGACTACTCTTCGGGTGTTGCTGCATGTCGCTGCTCAGCGTAACTACGAGTTGCACTCTCTGGAATTCAGCACAACTTTCTTGCAGGGCAGCCTGCACGACGAGATCTGGCTGCGTCGCCCACCTGGCTTCACTGGGTCGTTTCCTGCAGGTACCCAGTGGAGGCTTTGGCGGCCAGTCTACGGTTTTCGCCAGGCACCTCGCGAGTGGCATGACACACTGAGGACTAGACTTGCAGCTCTGGGGTTTACTCCTTCTACTGCTGACCCGTCGCTGTTTCTACGCACCAACACGTCACTGCCGCCGTTCTACGTCCTCGTGTACATCGACGACTTGGTCTTTGCCACTGCTGACACTGAGGCACTGACCCTTGTGAAGTCGGAGTTGTAGAAGAGACACACCTGCACTGACCTGGATGAACTGCGCAGCTATCTTGGCTTGCAAATCACCTGGGACAGAGCACGGCGCACCATCACACTGACTCAGTCACACATGGTGCACGAGGTCCTTTAGCGCTTTGGCTTCCAGTTCTCCTCGCCACAGCCCACTCCTCTGTCTACCGGCACTCGCTCTCAGCTTCACCTTCAGACGAGTCCGTAGAGCCGAGTGGTTCGTACCCAGAGCTTGTGGGTTGCCTCATGTACCTGATGACATGCACACGACCTGACCTCGCCTACCCTCTCAGCCTCCTGGATCGCTGCGTGGCTCCCGGCAGGCACCGAAAGGTGCACTTGGATGCTGCGAAGAGGGTACTGCGTTACTTGTGCAGTACGTCGGGCATGGGGCTAGTGCTCGAAGGACGGGGTCCAATTGTCCTCACTGGACACGCGGACGCTTCTTGGGTTGACGACTCAGCTACGCAGCGGTCGTCACAGGGTTACACCTTCAGCCTCGGTTCCGGCTCTGTTTTCTAGCGGTCTACCTGCTCGTCTTCGGTTCTCAGCTCCAGTTGTGAGGCTGAGATCTACGCCGGGGCCATGGCTGCACAGGAGCTTCGCTGGCTCACCTACCCGCTGACTGACTTGGGAGAGCAGCCTCGTTCGCCTCCAGTTCTGTACGTAGACAACAAGACCATGATTGCCTTGTGTCGGGAGCACATACTGGAGCACCAAACGAAGCACATCGCTCTGCGATACTTCCTTGCTCGAGAGTTGCAGCAGCGTGGTCAGGTTCGTCTTGCGTACGTGGCCACTAGGGCCAACACTGCTGATATATTCACCAAGGCACTTTTGTCTGGTGATCATCAGCGCTTCTGTACTGTGTTAGGCCTTGTGCCTGCTTTGCCCCAGTTGCTTTTTGCGTGACTTTGCTTGTACTGTGATCCATATATATACCTGCTTGCTTACACTTTTTAGGGTATGATCACTGTACCGTTTGTTCTCTTTTATATAAGTTTGCATGTGAACTGGCCTTGTGGCCCTTTGCTTGTGCTCGGACTGTGTGGTGACTTTGTGATCCACCCTGAGCTTGCTTTGCTTTTCTTGATTGGTCTTGTGACCACTTGTTCTCCCCCAGTTTGCCTATGAGGGTGTGTCAAAATGTTATAGTGCTTGCATTTGTGTAGGCTATAGTGGGGTAGCCCATAAGGGGTACAACCCAATTAGGGTTAGTACTTGTATCTAACTCTTTCATAGCTCATTCATTGTCGTTCGTAATTCTGACACAAACCGCAAATCTATCTCAGTGATAAATTTCGTGAAACAAATTAATATACTATATCAGACTTCTAATTACAAATATTAAGAATTGGACCTAAATCAAGTTACAATAAGTAGAGTTACAATTGTTGTTGCACATTACAAACATCAAAAGTTGCATTAAAAAACAACTATTTTTGTATCAAATAAACAATTTAAAGCGTAAGTAAAACTGCTTGGACAGGTTAAATCTGTTCTTTTGAGTGTAACTTGATTATACCATACGCTTAAATGATATATGATTTCATCAATACGCTTGAACGATAAAACTGATCCTGTAGTTACTCTACATTTTGTTTTTAACAGAGTGTCCGTAGGATGCTTGGTTTTATTGTGATAGTTATTTTATCGCATACCTGCATTTAACACTTTGCGCTTGTAAGCGTTCGTATACTAAACCGAAATGTGCATTTTGTGGGGTATACGTGGAGTGTCTTCTTTTTCGTTAAGTCAAACCCAACTTGTACGGTGTACAGTTTGGTTGGAACGCGAAGTTACCAGCCATGAATTCCGGATACGCTGTTTATTACCATTCAGGCAATAATGTTGACCATGTATGCATGATGGTTACCACGATACCTTTGTTACGATCTAGACACGTGGCTTACCTCGGGTGCGATCGAGCTTCATGAGTGTTACCGCGGAGGTAAATGCCCAGAGAGGTTTGATGAGGGATGCAGAGGGGTGACAATGGGTGAATTATGGTGCATCACGGTGTTAGATCTCTCTCCACCTCTGGCTTTCCCTCCTCCAGTTTGCTCAGATCCAACACGTTATCCGCCACTCGGCGAAGGTACTTGCTGTAAAGAGGGGTGATGAGGATGCAGAGGGGCGATGACAGATGCTGGGGGGTGATGGAGATGCAGAGGAGTGATGAGGATGCAGAGGCGTGATGAGGGGTGAATCACAGTGCAAGCTCACACTCAATATTGAGCTGCTTCCCCCCTTCCAGCGACATATTGAGCTCACTCAACCATCAGAGTTTTCGAGCAGGAGGAGTTTCGAAACGTCTCAAAGAACCACCAGAGAGAGACAAATTCGAGAGAAACCCTTTTTTATGACACAGACTCACAGGAAAATAGCCAACATACCCGCAGGCGGAGGTGGCGTGGAGCAGGTCCCTCTGGTCAGACGACATCTCAGTGCCCTCCATGAAGCTGATGGACGAGAGAATGCCGTTCAGTGGGTTGCGGATCTGACGAGGGTGATGTGGTGTGGGGGATGGGGAGAGGAGGAGGGAGATATATGGGGCGGATGAATGGGGTGGGGCACAGAGGCAACGGGGTGCGGTGCAGCAGGTCCCGCTGGTCAAACGACATCTGGGTGCCTTCCATGAAGCTGATGGACGAGAGAATGCCATTCAGGGGGTTGCGGATCTGACGGTGGGGATTACAAGTGGGGAGGAGGGTAAATGGGCTGCCCATGTCAAATCCACGACACCTCTCTTCACCACACTCAACCCATCGTTCACCATGTTCACCACCCTTCACCGCACTCAACCTCTCCTCACCTCGTGGCACAGGCACGCCAGCTGCATGGTCTTGGCCTGGCTGGCCACCTCTGCCACCATCTTCATCGCTGATGATGCGTTCTCACAATCAGCACCTCCTCTCACCGCTCACCACACCTTCCCACCGCACTCAGCTATCCTTCGCCACTGTTCACCGCACTCAACCTGATCGTACCTCATGGCACAGGCATGCCAGCTTCATGGTCTTGGCCTGGCTGGCTGCCTCTGCCACCATCTTCATAGCCGATGCGTTCTCTGCTGTCCATGCCAGCTCCACACGTCACCTCTCTACACCGCACTCAACCCCTCATTTCACCACCTTCACCACATCCCACACATGCTCACCGCACTTAACCCCTCTGCATACCTTGTGGCACAAGCAAGCCAGCTGCATGGTTTTGGCCTGACTGGCCGCCTCTGCCACCACCATCTTCATAGCCGATGCGTTCTCTGATGTCCATGCCAGCTCCACACGTCACCTCTCTTCACCACACTCAACCCCTCATTTCACCACCTTCACCACATCCCACACCTGCTCACCGCACTTAACCCCTCTGCATACCTCGTGGCACAAGCAAGCCAGCTGCATGGTTTTGGCCTGGCTGGTCGCCTCTGCCACCATCTTCATCGCCGATGCATTCTCTCGACACATTCAGCATCTTCTTTCACCGTACACCACACCCCATCACTGCACTCAATCCCCCCTCACCTCATGGCACAGGCACGCCAGCTGCATGGTCTTGGCCTGGCTGGCCGCCTCTGCCACCATCTTCATAGCAGAAGCGTTCTCTGCTGCCCGCCTCTCCACCACATCTTGCATGAAGCACGTCGCTCCCACCGGCTCACCAGTAGGGGAGCGCCTGTTGTGAAGATAGGAATGCATTTACGGGCAGATGAAGGGAGGGAGGAAGAAAGGGAGTTGGCTCGCGTGGTCACCTCTCCGCTGCCCTCCAACACCACAGCACAGACTCTGCTCCTTCACACTGCACCACAATACACCGCAATCCACCGCAATCCACCGCAATCCACCGCAATCTACTGCAATGCATCGCATTGATGACAGCATTGCACTCTACACCACCACATGCACATCACAACGCAGAACCGCACTGGACCACCTTGCAGCCCACTGTACCCTGCCTCAACTCCATTGCACCGCACTGCACCTGCTGATGATGTGGAGGAGAGTGTCCATGGGCGGCCGTCCCACCTCTTCAGCTGCAGCCCCTGCCCATTCAGAGCCTGACACAGGGCTACCAGTTTATCCTGCACTGCACTGTATCAAACCGCACTGTACCATACCGTACAGCACCGCACTGCACCACATTGCACCTGCTGATGATGTGCAGGAGAGTGTCGATGGGGCAGCCGCCCCACTTCTTCAGCTGCAGCTCGTGGTTCCTAGCCTGAGACAGGGTTACCAACTTATCCTGCATTGCGATGCACCAAACCGCACTGCACCGCAACTCACCCCATGGCAGCACAGTGCACCACATCGCACCTGCTGATGATGTGCAGCAGAGTGTCCATGGGGCGGCCGTCCCACGTCTTGAGCTGCAGCTCGTGGTTCCTCGTGTCCCTCCCGTTGAGTGCCTGACAGAGGGCGATCTCAAACATCACCAGATTGTCCTGCAGGGGTGAAGGTGGATGGAGGAAATGACGGATCGTCTTTTCTGCTAAGAACCTCCCCCACCAGCCGCCTGTCCACAAGCCACCTCCCCCAGCGAGCGAGCCACAAGCACCAGTCTTTACCTGGTCCGGAATGAGCAGCATCGGATTGCTGCTCAGCACCTACTCACCCCACAAGCCACCTTCCCCCACAAGCCACCTTCCCCCACAAGCCACCTCCCCCAAAAGCCACCTTCCCCCACAAGCCACCTTCCCCCACAAGCCACCTCCCCCACAAGCCACCTTCCCCCACAAGCCACCTTCCCCCACAAGCCACCTCCCCCACAATCCACCTCCCCCACAAGCTGCCTCCCCGCAAACGCCCCACAAGCCACATTCCTGGTCAGGAATGAGCAGCATGGGGTTGCTGCTAAGCACCTCCCCCACAAGCCACAAACATTGTTAATCACCTGGTCGAAACCAGCAGCACCGCTTCTCACCTGGTCCGGAATGAGCAGCATCGGATTGCTGCTAAGCACCTCCCCCACAAGTCGCCTGCCCACAACTTTTTCTCGGGGCAGCCCGCTGGTCTGCTCCATGGCAGCATTCCATTCGGTCACCCGCCCGCACTCGTCCACCGTGAAAACCAAGAGATCTGATTGGTCCACAGCTGCCCGAGCCTCTGCCTCGGGCATCTTGTACTGGGGAAGGGAGGGGGGACGGAGCGGGAGGGGGAGGGGGAGAGGGAGGGGGAGGGGGAGGGGGAGGGATAGGGGAGAAAAGGGGAAGGAGAGGAATGATTCGATTGGTCCACAACTGCCCGGGCCTAAGAAGTTGCCTTGGAAGTAACCTCGGTGTGTCTGCTGTCGGTGTGTGTATGCTCACCTGTGTGTCTCTTTATGTGTCCCTCCTCCCTTTCCCCTCCCCCTTCTCTCACCTCCCCTGCCAGCACATTGAGCGAGGTGACGTGATGCCCCATCAGCCGCATGCTCAGCAGGTTGCCGTGCCCCTCTGCGTGTGCCTTGTGTGTCTCTCTGTCTCTCTGCCCCTCTCCTTTCCAATCCCTCCCCCCCTTACTCACCTCCCCTGCCAGCACATTGAGCGCGGTGACGTGATGCCCCATGACTCGCACACCCAGCCGCCGGTTGCTGCCTCTGTGCGTGTGTGCCTCTGTCACTGTGCGTGTGTGTCCCTTTGACTTTATCTCACCATCACATGCCCATCCCCCTCCCGCTCCCCCCTTCATCCCCTCGCCTCCCCCCTTACTCACCTCGCCAGCAAGCACTTTGAGGGCAGTGATGTCTTGCCCCATCAGCCACACACTCATCAGGTTGCCGTGCCGGTCGTGCTGCCCATATGCGCTCACCAGCACATGCACCAGCCGATCCAACTCAGCAAACTGCCGGCCGTGCTCCTCTGTGTTTTTTACTGTCCCTCTGCCCTGCCCCTCCCTCTACCCATCCCTGGCCCCTTGTTCCCTCTCTCCCCCACCCTCTTTCTCACCTCGCCAGCAAGCACTTTGAGCGCGGTGATGTCTTGCCCCATCAGCCGCACGCTCATCAGGTTGCCATGCCGGTCGTGCTGCCCATACGCGCTCACCAGCACATGCACCAACCGATCCAACTCCCCCACCGCCCCTCCCCTCCTTCCTCCTCCTCCTGCCCCTCCTCCTGCTCCACCTGCTTCAACACCCCCAGCAGCAGCGGCGGCGGCATCAGCAGCGGCGGCAGCATCAACGGCATCAGCAGACCTCGCCAGCAGAGCAACATCAAACGGCTGAACATCATCCCCTTCCGCTAACACCTCCATAGCCGCCACAAAGTGCGCGTGAGACTCGGGAGCCAGCACACTGGAGAAGAAATTACTCCCCACAACCTCGCTCTTGGCCCGCCGGGTGATGTGGGCGGCCTTGCTGTTGAACTCGGTGACGGTGCCGTTGCTGCTGATGCCGATGATGGGCGTGTGGGCGGATTCGAGCTGGTTTTCTAGATTGCGAGCCACCTCTTTTAGCTGAGATTGAATGGTTAGGCGCTCTGCATTCAGCTGAGCCTGCTAGGTGAGAAGGCAGGGAAGGCAGAAGGAGAGGTGCGGAGAGGAGGCGAGGGAGGGGGACACAAGACAGGGGATAAAGAGGCAAGAGGGTGATGTGATGTGGGCTGCCTTGCTGTTGAACTCGGTGACGGTGCCGTCGCTGCTGATGCCGATGATGGGCGTGTGGGCTGACTCCAGCTGGTTCTCGAGAGTCCTGGCGACCTCTTTTAGCTGTGACTGGATGGTCAGGCGCTCTGCATTCAGCTGGGCCTGGTAGGGCGAGGAGAGCAGGGAGAGGAGGGGTGGTAGGGAGACACAAGGCAGGCCGGAAGGGGCAAGAGGGTGATGTGGGCGGCCTTGCTGTTGAACTCGGTGACGGTCCCGTCGCTGCTGATGCCGATGATGGGCGTGTGGGCGGATTCGAGCTGGTTTTCCAGTGTGCGCGCCACTTCTTTCAATTGGGATTGGATGGTCAGGCGCTCCGCGTTCAGCTAAGCCTGGTAGGTCGAGGAGAGCAGGGAGAGGAGGGGAGGGAGGGGGACACAAGGCAGCGGGCAAAGGGAGAGGGGGTGATGTGGGCGGCCTTGCTGTTGAACTCGGTGACGGTGCCGTCGCTGCTGATGCCGATGATGGGCGTGTGGGCGGATTCGAGCTGGTTTTCGAGAGTCCTGGCGACCTCTTTTAGCTGTGACTGGATGGTCAGGCGCTCCGCGTTCAACTGAGCCTGGTGGGGTGAGGAGTGGTGAGAAGAGGGCGACAAGGGTGACGATGAGTGCGTGACAGATCTTCTTCCGATGAGTGTGTTCAGCAGCTGAACCTGGTGAACAAACATCTTCTCCACATATAATCCGCGTATAGTAAGTCGATTTTTGAGTCGACTCAAAAATCGACTTCCGATGAGTGTGTTCAGCAGCTGAACCTGGTGGGGCGAGAGATGAAGAGTTGCACACTGCCCCACAAAAAGGCACAGCCATCATCACCATCTGCCTAAGCAGTTTACAAGACGACTGAGACTTCATTACCATCTTCCGGCTGGTTGGTTGGTTGGTTGGTTGTTCCATCACACCATCTCACATGGCTGCTCTGGAAGCGTTTTCAAAGACAGTCAGCCAGCCAGTCGCACACGCTCTCACCTGGATCTTCAGCTTCAGGTCCTGAGGCTCGGGGTGGGGCAGTGAATCCTTGACAATAAGGCGCAGCCCTTGCATGGCGTCCACCTGGGGGAGAGAGAGGGGTGGAGAAGGGTTTGAGGGTTCGGAAAAGAGCTTTGAAGGGGTGGAGAAGGTCAGGACAGTGGTGGGTATCAGAGGAAAGGAAGAGGATAAGCGGTGGGACGAGCAAAGGAGTGGCGGGGATGCATGGTGGCGCCCTCCCTCACTGAACTTGGGTGTGTGTGTGTGGCTCTGTGCAGTTCTGTACTGTTCTGTGCGGTTCTGCGAGGTTGTGTGTCCACTTTGTTCACTCAACTCAGCATCGGTCCAGGGCTGGCTCTGCAGCTTCACCACTTCCAGGTAAGCAGCGAACGAGTTGCGGGGATGCATGGTGGCGCCCTCTCCTTGATGCTCTGTGCGGCTATATACTGTTCTCTGCAATTCTGTGCGGTTTTAAGCAGTTCTGTGCGGTTGTGTACCCTATTCACTCACCTCAGCATCAGTCCAGGGCTGGCTCTGCAGCTTCACCACTTCCAGGTAAGCAGCGAAAGAGTTGCGGGGATGCATGGTGGCGCCCTCTCTCACTGTGTGGCTGTCCTTGTGCCCTGCCCAGGTAATGTTGCGCTCAATACCTGTGAATATGGAGGAAGAAGGTGACAGGGGAAGAGGAAAGTGGGAAGAGGGAAGCAAAGGGGTTGTGGAGGTGCGTGGCGCATGGTGGCGCCCTCCCTCACTGTATGCGAGTCCTTATGCCCTTCCCAGATAATGTTCCTCTCAATGCCTGTCAAGACAGACAGAAGGTGACAGAGGAAACGGGGAAGTGGGGAGAGGGAAGCATAAGTGGTTGTGGAGTTTGTGGGGATGCATGGTGGCGCCCTCCCTCACTGTGTGCGAGTCCTTGTGCCCCGCAGGTAATGTTCCTCTCAATTCCTGTCAAGACAGGGGGGAGATTGGGGTACGGGAAGACACGGAGATGGGAGAGGGAGGGTTGGAAAATTAATCACGAAATTTCAAATTTACAACCCGAAACCCTGAACCATAAACATGAAACGACCTCAAATCTAAAACTTCAAACCGTGAAGTGTACCCCATAAACCATTGAATACTCGGGTGAATTGAATTGAAGCCACATGAGTATTCCCCCTCGGCTTGACACCATGGCAGCAGCCAGCCCACTCACAGCCAGGGCAAGGCGTGAGGCACCCTAGCCCGTAACCCTAAATCTTAAAGTTAAACCCGAAATCCTCACCTGAGTGGAACCACATCAGAAAATCTCCTCGGCCCGACACCATTGCAGCAGCCAGCCCACACACAGCCGGGGCGAGGCGGGAGGCGAAGGGCAGTCCGGCTTGCTCCAGAGAATTCGTCACGAAGACAGTGTGTTGCAGCAGGTGGGTGTCTTTGAGGCGCAGCCAGCGCGGCAGATTCTCTTCTCAAACTTTCTAACAAAATCCACAGGAGAAAGTCTCACCTGATCGGAACCACATGAGGAAGTCTCCTCGACTCGACACCATAGCAGCAGCCAGCCCGCACACAGCCGGGGCAAGGCGGGAGGCAAAGGGCAGGCCGGCTTGCTCGAGAGAATTGGTGACGAAGACGGTGTGTTGGAGCAGGTGGGTGTCTTTGAGTCGCAGCCAGAGCAGCAGATTCTCAAACTCTCCAACGAGAACGACAGACAGGAGAAAGTCTTACCGGATCGGAACCACATGAGGAAATCCCCTCGGCTCGACACCATAGCGGCAGCCAGGCCGCACACAGCCGGGGCGAGGCGGGAGGCAAAGGGCAGCCCAGCTTGCTCGAGAGAATTTGTGACAAAGACGGTGTGTTGGAGCAGGTGGGTGTCTTTGAGGCGCAGCCAGCGCGCTATCTCCTTCATGTCATCCTCTGAAGGGCACGCCCCCACCCACCACGCCTTGCCCGCATGCAGCAGCACTGCCCCGTCCGATGGCACCTGGGGGGGGGGGGGGGGAGGGGGGGAGGGAGGGAGGGAGGGAGGGAAGGGGGAGGGAGGGAGGGAGGGAGGGGAGGAGGGAGGGAGGGAGGGGAGGAGGGAGGAAGTGAGGGAGGGAGAGCAAGAGAGAGGGAGTGGGTGGGAGAGACGGTGTGTTGGAGCAGGTGGGTGTCTTTGAGGCGCAGCCAGCGCGCTATCTCCTTCATGTCATCCTCTGAAGGGCACGCCCCCACCCACCACGCCTTGCCCGCATGCAGCAGCACTGCCCCGTCCGATGGCACCTGGGGGGGAGGGGGGGGGAGGGGGGAGGGAGGGAGGGAGGGAGGGAGGGAGGGAGGGAGGGAGGGAGGGAGGGAGGGAGGGAGGGAGGGAAGGGGGAGGGAGGGAGGGAGGGAGGGAGGGAGGGAGGGAGGGAGGGAGGGAGGGGAGGAGGGAGGGAGTGAGGGAGGGAGAGCAAGAGAGAGGGAGTGGGTGGGAGAGACGGTGTGTTGGAGCAGTTGGGTGTCCTTGAGGCGCAGCCAGCGCGCTATCTCCTTCATGTCATCCTCTGAAGGGCACGCCCCCACCCACCACGCCTTGCCCGCATGCAGCAGCACTGCCCCGTCCGATGGCACCTGGGGGGGGGGAGGGAGGGAGGGAAGGGGGAGGGAGGGAGGGAGGGAGGGAGGGAGGGAGGGAGGGAGGGAGGGAGGGAGGGAGGGGAGGAGGGAGGGAGGGAGGGGAGGAGGGAGGGAGGGAGGGGAGGAGGGAGGGAGGGAGGGGAGGAGGGAGGGAGTGAGGGAGGGAGAGCAAGAGAGAGGGAGTGGGTGGGAGAGACGGTGTGTTGGAGCAGGTGGGTGTCTTTGAGGCGCAGCCAGCGCGCTATCTCCTTCATGTCATCCTCTGAAGGGCACGCCCCCACCCACCACGCCTTGCCCGCATGCAGCAGCACTGCCCCGTCCGATGGCACCTGGGGGGGAGGGGGGGGGAGGGGGGAGGGAGGGAGGGAGGGAGGGAGGGAGGGAGGGAGGGAGGGAGGGAGGGAGGGAGGGAGGGAAGGGGGAGGGAGGGAGGGAGGGAGGGAGGGAGGGAGGGAGGGGAGGAGGGAGGGAGTGAGGGAGGGAGAGCAAGAGAGAGGGAGTGGGTGGGAGAGACGGTGTGTTGGAGCAGGTGGGTGTCCTTGAGGCGCAGCCAGCGCGCTATCTCCTTCATGTCATCCTCTGAAGGGCACGCCCCCACCCACCACGCCTTGCCCGCATGCAGCAGCACTGCCCCGTCCGATGGCACCTGGGGGGGGGGGAGGGAGGGAGGGAAGGGGGAGGGAGGGAGGGAGGGAGGGAGGGAGGGAGGGAGGGAGGGAGGGGAGGAGGGAGGGAGGGAGGGGAGGAGGGAGGGAGGGAGGGGAGGAGGGAGGGAGGGAGGGGAGGAGGGAGGGAGTGAGGGAGGGAGAGCAAGAGAGAGGGAGTGGGTGGGAGAGACGGTGTGTTGGAGCAGGTGGGTGTCTTTGAGGCGCAGCCAGCGCGCTATCTCCTTCATGTCATCCTCTGAAGGGCACGCCCCCACCCACCACGCCTTGCCCGCATGCAGCAGCACTGCCCCGTCCGATGGCACCTGGGGGGGAGGGGGGAGGGAGGGAGGGAGGGGGGAGGGAGGGAGGGAGGGAGGGAGGGAAGGAAGGGGGAGGGAGGGAGGGAGGGAGGGAGGGAGGGAGGGAGGGAGGGAGGGAGGGAGGGAGGGAGGGAGGGAGGGAGGGGAGGAGGGAGGGAGGGAGGGGAGGAGGGAGGGAGTGAGGGAGGGAGAGCAGAGAGAGAGGGAGTGGGTGGGAGAGACAGTGTGTTGGAGTAGGTGGGTGTCCTTGAGGCGCAGCCAGCGCGCTATCTCCTTCATGTCATCCTCTGAAGGGCACGCCCCCACCCACCACGCCTTGCCCGCATGCAGCAGCACTGCCCCGTCCGATGGCACCTGGGGGGGGGGGGGGAGGAGGGAGGGAGGGAGGGAGGAAGGGAGGGAGGGAGGGAGGGGAGGAGGGAGGGAGGGAGGGGAGGAGGGAGGGAGGGAGGGGAGGAGGGAGGGAATGAGGGAGGGAGAGCAAGAGAGAGGGAGTGGGTGGGAGAGACGGTGTGTTGGAGCAGGTGGGTGTCTTTGAGGCGCAGCCAGCGCGTTCCCCCACCCACCACGCCCTGCCCGCATGCAGCAGCACCGCCCCGTCCGATGGCACCTGTGGGAGCACAGGTGAGGGAGAGAGGGAGTGAGGAAGGGAGTGAGGGAGGGGGTGGAGTAAGTCTAAGTTGGAATATACGCTACTTTGCTTTTGCGTTTTGCGTTTATACGCGTAACGAATTCGTACGCTGCGTATAATTTGAAAATTCGCCGAGTTTAATTTCGGGCAGACCGAAAAAAAAAACAATTTTTCAATCTGAAGCTCGCGACGTGGCGATCTCTATTTCGAGTCGCAGATGTCGCGAACTGAACTCGATTTTTGAATTGTGAGCTCCAAACCTCCTCAACCCCACCCCTCCACCGTTTCACACCCCTTTAAACCACAGCATTCCACCACCCCCTTCAACCGCTACTTTACTGGTTGGGAGCTCAACCCAACCCAATCTCCCAGGCATAAAGAGTGGCATTTGTTCACTCGATATTCATTCTCTCGCTTCCTATTCTAGTTACCTCTTCTCCCCAGCCACCATGGCTGCTACTCCTACAGCAACAAGTTCTCGTCCATGCATGAGCGGCAGGCGGGGGATTAAGGATGGACATGTAGAGTAGGGGGAGGGGTGGTAGCATGAATGTGGTGGAGGAAGATGTAGTGGTAAATTAGTTTTACGGGTTTTTTTTTTCTGTAACTTTCATATTAATAAAAAGGGGATGGGGGTTACATCACCCCCCCATCCCCACCTCTTACCCCAAAAATCTGCCCGGGAAAAAGTTTTTCCCTGCCCGGGCAAGCGTATTCTTGTGCGTACCAGACCCCTCATGGCCAGCGTCTAGCGTATATACTCTCGCGTATATACGAGAGCGTACAAAACGCTAAACGCGTTTATTCCAACTTAGGAGTAAGTGAGGGAGTGAGTGAAGGAGTGAGGGACAAGCACAAGCTTCCTCTTTACCAAGACTATAATGGTTGTTGCAAACCCTGGCTTCCTTACCAGGTCTTAGATGTTTGGGCTCTGTCGCACCAGCCAGCCCCAGAGGTACATCCCTAGACAGCATGCCGCACAGAATGGCCTGCATCTCTAGCGCTAGCCACAATGTTACCTTGCCATACCACACATGTAGTCTCAACTCTCACCAGGTCTTTGATGTTGGGGCTCTGTCGCACCAGCCCCAGCGGCACATCCCTGGATAGCATGCCACACAGAATCGCCTGCATCTGCATCGTTCGCCGCTCTGCTGCATGCTCCGCTGCCTCTAGCTCCATTGCCAGCTGCAGGGCGAAGGCCTGATGGGGAGAGGGGAAGGGAGACGGGACATAGAGGAAAAGTGAGGGCCGCTCACAGAGGCGTTTTTCTGCGCTGCATGCTCTGCTGCCTCCAGCTCCATTGCCAGCTGCAGGGCGAAAGCCTGGTGGTGGGGAGACGAGATGGATGGGGCAGATGAGGTCGATATGGGGGATGTGATGGATAGGGGTGACATGTGATGGCATACCACCAGCCCCCACAGCTTGCTGCTCCTTGATCCACCAGCCAATCAAAATCCACAAGAGCCCGTCCCCACTCATCCACCCTGCCACCCTCCCACCCATATACCCATCCACCAACCCTCCTGTAAGAGAAAGTTGCAGGCGAATCGCCGGGGATACGGCAGGAAGCGGGGTGACATGTGGTGGCATACCAGCAGCCCCCACAGCTTGCGCACACTGGTGCTCTGAGGAACCCGCGTGGTTACCACCACTGCCATTTCACCGGAACAAAGAGGAGAAAGGACCATTTGGAAAAAAAGAGGCCCACACAACCACCCACCCACCCAACCAACCAGCCAACCAGCCACCCACCCACCCACCTGCAGTAGGAAATCGCAGGCGAATCGCTGGGGGTAGGGCAGGAAGCGGGGCGACATGTGATGGCATACCACCAGCCCCCACAGCTTGCGCACACTGGTGCTCTGAGGGCCCTGCGTGGTTACCACAACCGCCATCACTAGAGACGCCCCAATGCCGATGTTTGCGCAGTACTCCTTGTGACAGCTGGACACGCCTGGTGCGGGAAGACAGAGGAGAGATGGGTGTTGACTTTTGTTGAATTTTGTTGACCGTTGTTGACTTCTGGTTACCACCACCGACATCACCAGAGACGCTTCGATGCCGATGTTGGCGCAGTACTCCTTGACAGCTGGACACGCCTGGTGGGACGAGGAGGGGGCAGTTGACTAGTGTTGACTTTTGCTTTAACTTGAGTTGACTTGCATTGACTCGAGTTTACCGTGCTTGAGGATTGACTTGCATTGAAGTTCGTTGACTTGCATTGAAGTTCGTTGACTTGCATTGAAGTTCGTTGACTTGCATTGAAGTTCGTTGACTTGCATTGAAGTTCGTTGACTTGCATTGAAGTTCGTTGACTTGCATTGAAGTTCGTTGACTTGCATTGAAGTTCGTTGACTTGCATTGAAGTTCGTTGACTTGCATTGAAGTTCGTTGACTTGCATTGAAGTTCGTTGACTTGCATTGAAGTTCGTTGACTTGCATTGAAGTTCGTTGACTTGCATTGAAGTTCGTTGACTTGCATTGAAGTTCGTTGACTTGCATTGAAGTTCGTTGACTTGCATTGAAGTTCGTTGACTTGCATTGAAGTTTGTTGACTTGCATTGAAGTTCGTTGACTTGCATTGAAGTTCGTTGACTTGCATTGAAGTTCGTTGACTTGCATTGAAGTTCGTTGACTTGCATTGAAGTTCGTTGACTTGCATTGAAGTTCGTTGACTTGCATTGAAGTTCGTTGACTTGCATTGAAGTTCGTTGACTTGCATTGAAGTTCGTTGACTTGCATTGAAGTTCGTTGACTTGCATTGAATTTCGTTGACTTGCATTGAAGTTCGTTGACTTGCATTGAAGTTCGTTGACTTGCATTGAAGTTCGTTGACTTGCATTGAAGTTCGTTGACTTGCATTGAAGTTCGTTGACTTGCATTGAAGTTCGTTGACTTGCATTGAAGTTCGTTGACTTGCATTGAAGTTCGTTGACTTGCATTGAAGTTCGTTGACTTGCAAGTCAACGAACTTCAATGCAAGTCTGAAGTCTGAAGGATATGCACGTCGGTGTCATGGCATTGTCTAGACATCTCAACACTTGAATTGATCTGCATTGACTCACGTTGACACACTCACCTTCCAGTGTGGACTTGTATTGACTTGTGTTGAATTGTGTTGACTTGTATTGACTTGTATTGACTTGTGTTGACTTGTGTTGAATTGTGTTGAATTGTGTTGAATTGTGTTGAATTGTGTTGAATTGTGTTGACTTGTATTGACTTGTGTTGACTTGTGTTGACTTGTGTTGACTTGCATTAACTCACCTTTCAGTGTGGACTTGGAAAGGCTGATGTTCTTGCTGAGGGAGGGGTGCTGCAGGATGTGCACGTCTGGTGCCGCGACATCTGCGATCAATCTCAGCCGCATATCTACAAACATCGTACGGTAGATCTGCGACGGATGGGGGGGCGGATCAGAACGATACATGGGAGAAGTTGGGGATAATTGTGTCATGGTAAATAGTTGCCTCTTCTAAAAAAAGGAGACGGGATGAAATAACAAGCAATTTGGGAAGGGAAGAAAGAAGTGAATCAATGTGCGTATGTGTGAGGGCTAGTTCACCGCACTTCACTTAACCGCATTTCACCTGAGAATGTTCACAGTGTGCATCACCGCACAACCGCACTTCACCACACTTCACCGCACTTGACAACAGTTCACTGCACTCTTCACCTGAGGACAATCAGTCGCGGGGTAGTGCAGCCCCAACAGAGACGCCTGAGCCTCTGCTTTCGCCTCTGCCACCACCTGGACAGAAAGAGAGGGGGAAGGGGGGAGAGGGGAGGAGTGGGGGGGAAGGGGAAGGGGACGGACGGGGAAGCGTAGGGAAAGGGAAGGGGAGGGACGGGGAAGGGAAGGGAAGGGGGAAATGGACAGAGGTTAAAACGCCTGAGCCTCCGACTAGGCCTGGGAACAATGGGGAGGGGGGGAGCAAGGGGAACAGTGGCGAGGAGCAGAACAGGGAGCATGGTGAGCATGGTGAGCATGGTGAGCATGGTGAGCATGGTGAGCATGGTGAGCATGGGGAGCATGGTGAGCATGGTGAGCATGGTGAGCATGGTGAGCATGGTGAGCATGGTGAGCAGTGTCCCTCCATGTCCTTGTGAAACTGGTACAGCAGCATTTTGTCCTACACACATCCGCTTTCTTGGAATCACTTTTAAGAATTCTCAGAAGTGATTTAGACCAGTGCAGCAGCACTCGGTCATACCCGTCAGCCATAGAAGCTTTGTTTAGGCGAGCTGCAGTCTGGTAGAAATCTTTAGCAAGTGATAGACAGTAGTAAAAGTTTGGCCCTGTATTTCAGCCAAGAATCTGAAATCTTAGCAGCACTCGGTCATACCCACATCCGCTTCCCCCGATTTTTACACACACGCGTGCATACTCACTCTGTCTCTCATACACACGCTCCCCCACCCACCCCCACACACACCCACACACCCACACACACCCACACACCCACACACCCACACACACCCACACACCCACACACCCCCACACACCCACACACCCACACACCCACAACACCCACACACACCCACACACACCCACACACCCACACACACCCACACACACCCACACACCCACACACACCCACACACCCACACACCCCCACACACCCACACACCCACACACCCACAACACCCACACACACCCACACACACCCACACACCCACACACACCCCCATGCAGGTCTTGGTGAAATCGGTAGAGCAGCACTCGGTCATACCCACCACATCCCCCCTTCTCATCCACACTCAAGTGCATGATAACAAACAAGCTCCCCCTTCCCACGCACCTCCCCATGCAGGTCTTGGTGAAATCGGTAGAGCAGCACTCGGTCATACCCACCACATCCCCCCTTCTCATCCACACTCAAGTGCATGATAACAAACAAGCTCCCCCTTCCCACGCACCTCCCCATGCAGGTCTTCGTGAAATCGGTACAGCAGCACTCGGTCATACCCACCACATCCCCCCTTCTCATCCACACTCAAGTGCATGATAACAAACAAGCTCCCCCTTCCCACGCACCTCCCCATGCAGGTCTTGGTGAAATCGGTAGAGCAGCACTCGGTCATACCCACCACATCCCCCCTTCTCATCCACACTCAAGTGCATGATAACAAACAAGCTCCCCCTTCCCACGCACCTCCCCATGCAGGTCTTCGTGAAATCGGTACAGCAGCACTCGGTCATACCCTGCCAGCTCCCGCAGCTCCTGAGATAAGGAGAATTGACGGGACGGACAGGCGAGGGCATGGAAGAGAAGAGGGAGTGGTGGAGAGAAAGGGGGGCGTGGGGCGTGGGAAAGGGGTGGGGAGGGAAAGGCAGGGGAGTTGTGAGAATTCCCACCATGCCAGCTCCCGCAGCTCCTGAGATAGGGAGAGGACTCAAGTCCTGCAGCTTGGGATAGGTTGGAAGGAGAGCACTCACGAGCAGAACATATGAGGGGTAGATAAGGGGTGCCTCCTCTCTCCCTTTCACCTGCACGAGCGTGTCGCACAGCTTGGGCATGGCATCACCAATGTCCTGCAGCTTGGTTGTATGGTTGTCCCGCCTACCTGGTTTCCATGTCACAGTCGATTTTTGAGTCGACTCAAAAATCGACTCACTACACGTTGTATGGCTGTCCCGCCTACACCTGCACCATGTCAGGTGCAGCCAGTGCATGTCACAGCCAGTGCATGTCACAGCCAACGCCCTCACCTGCACGACTGTGTCGCACAGCCTTGGGATGTCGTCGTCAATGTCTTGCAACTTGGCAATGCTCGCACTCGTCCTCTCGTGCTTGTCCAGAGCTGACCACTCCAGCATCGACATATCCACCTCCTCTTCCTCCTCTTCTTCTTCTTCCTCTTCTTCTTCCTCCTTTTCTTCCTCTTCCTCCCCTTTCTTCCCCTCTTCCTCCCGTTTCTCCTCCTCCCCTTTCTTCTCCTCCTCCCCTTTCTCCGCTTCCTCCGCTTCCGTCTGACGACTCTCATCTCCTCCACCACCCTGCACATACCCATTAAGACACGTCCACGAAACTACTCCATCCTTCCCCTCCCCACCCTTTCCAGACGCATCCTCTATACCGCTACCCGCCTTTTCTCCTGGCCCCCCCACACTCCCCGCCTCAACTTTCCCTCGTGCCTCTCTCGCACGTGCCGCCGCCTTTCCTCCCTTCTTTTTCTTCCACCTCCCAGCCCACTCCTCCCCTCCCACGCACGGCTCTATGTCAACCACCAGGCCCTCATCAGTTCGATGCACTATGGCGTACACGGGGCGGGCTGATGGGGGGTGGGGGGGAGAGACAGGTGGTTAGGGAGTAGGGAGGGAGGGAGGATGGGAGGGGAGAGGTGAAGGGTATGAAGCACTGAAGATGCCCGCAACAAGAGCCCACTCCTCCCCTCCCACGCACGGCTCTATGTCAACCACCAGGCCCTCGTCTGAGCGATGCACTATGGCGTACAGGGGGCGGGCTGATGGAGGGGGAGGATGGGGGAAGCGGGGGGACTTGGGACGTCTTAATAGAAACGGCCAGAGGTGAGTGGGAGGTGGAAGGGAAGGGAGAGGGTGTTCTCTTTCCCTCCTCCCCCACACACGGCTGTATGTCAACCACAAGGCCCTCGTCAGTCCTCACTCACTCACTCGCTCACCTCCATTACTCACCTCCTTGACTCCGTCCCTCCCTCCCTCTCACCTCGTTGGACCGTCTTCATCAGAATGAGGTTTGAGTCTTGACAGCTGCGGATCCGAAATCACACCCCACTTCCCCCGCCCTTCCCTCCCTCTCTCACTCACTCGCTCACTCACTCACTCACTCGCTCACTCACTCACTCACTCACTCGATCACCCACCTCCAACTTTTCTCCCTCTCACACCCCCCACCCTCCCCGCAATTCCCTCACTCACGCAACACCCTCCTCCCTTCCATCCATCTCACCTCGTCGCACTGTCTTGATCAGAATGGGATTCGACAGCTGCGGATCCGAGCTGTCACATGCCGCCACCAGGCACGCGAACGTCTGTTGGGGGGGGGAGGGGTGGGAATGGGTGGGGAGGGGTGGAATGGGTGGGGAGAGGTGGGAATGGGTGGGGGATGGGGTTCGACAGCTGAGGATCCGAGCTCCCACATGCCGCCACCAGGCAGGCAAACGTCTGTTGGGGGTGGGGAAGGGTGGGAATGGGTGGGGAGGGGTGGGAATGAGTGGGGAGATGTGGGAATGGGTTTGGGCTGGGGTTCGACAGCTGCGGGTCCGAGCTCTCACACGCCGCCACCAGGCAGGCAGGCAGACGTCTGTTGAGAAGAGTAAGAAAGGTGTGGGGGAAAGGGTAGGGTGAACAGGCTCGTATTGGAAACTGCACATTGTGTTTCGAGACGTCTCAAAAAGGGTAGGGGAGAAAGAAGAGGCTCGTAGCGGAAACTGTCCATTGTGACCGGGCCGGGGAGGAGAGCGTCTGCTGAGAGAAGGGAAGGGAGAGCTCTTTTGAGGCGCATCAAAAGTAAGAAACTGTACATTGTGACCGGGGAGGAGAGCAGCTGTTGAGGGCAGGGAGAAGCGGGTAAGGAAGAGGCAGGGAGAGGCGAGGTTGTTCAAAAAAGGATCGCTTTCAGGCATAGTCTTACCTGATCAGTCATCAAGCAGTTACATGATTGGCCCAACAGACTCCTCACGGCCCCTCCTCCCCGCAACCTCTCACTCCCCGCCCCCCCCACTCACCTTTTGCATCACCTCCTCTCACTCACCAAGTCACATCGCAGAGTCTCACCTGTTCGATCATCAAGCAGCTACATGATTGGCCCAGCAGACTCCTCAGTCCTCACCACCTTCCATATCAACACTCCTTCCTCAACGCCCCTCTTTCTTTTGCATCAACTCGCAATTCACATCGCACAGTCTTACCTGCTCGGTCATCAAGCAGCTACATGATTGACCCAACAGACTCTTCACAGCCCCTCCCTTCCCCCCTCCTCCTTCCGCCTCTTCCCTCCCTCCCTCCCCATTCCCCTCCTTCGTCGCCTCTTCCCTCTCCTCTCCCGCCTTCTTCTCCCCATTCCCCCAATCTGGCTGGTCAAAAAAGTCAAAGATATTTTCTGCTACAGCCAGGATTCTGTAGCTCCTCTCCTCCAGGAACAGCAGAGAGCCGTGCGGTTGGACGTATCCTGGCCGTTGAGCGTGCTGCGTGTACGACTGCACATCTCCACCGTAGGATTGATCCGCCTCCGCCTCCCCCCCTCCAGGCACAGCTGGCGCAGCGGCTGCCGCTGCTGCGGGGGAGGATTCCGTGGGCAAGGGTTGCGCCTCCCCGCTTGCCTCCCCCGGTTGCCCGAATGTCCCCGCAATCGCCTGGAGCTGAGGGGAGTTGGGCGCGGCAAAGGGGAGGGGAAAGGGGAAAGGGGGAATAGGGTTATTGGGGGAGAAAGCGGGGGAAAATGGGAGGGAGGGGAGAGGAGAGGGGGGAGGAAGGGAGAGGGTGTGCAAGGGTGGTGGAGGGTTGAGAGCGTTGGTTTGGGCAGCGGGGAAGCCGGGAGGGAAGGCGGAAGGTCTTAGGATCGTAAACACCTTAGTCGGCAATAGTCTACTTGCTATTGCTTATCGTGTTCTCCACGATCTCCCAAATCCAACGATATGCGCAGCTCTGCTTGAAGTTGTCAATACACACTTCAGCAATTTCAGAATCTCAATGTTGTCCAATGTTGTGATTTCCAGAATGAGTACAAGCAGTTTTATGGTCAGGCAAGACACAAAATGCGATTCGTAACTTCACTTGTTTCCCAAGTAACCGCGTGTGCCTCGTTTCACCCCGAGTCGCACACGGAACCGAACCGAATGCACCGAACATTTCTTGAGTCCGAATCTCGAACCTTCTCGAACGCGCCTCAAGCTTGAACCACAATTTCCCCCGTCGATCTCATTCTCGATGCTTCTCCTTCTCTATTCCTCCTTCCTGCACATTCCCTCTCGATTTCCTTCCCGCTTCTCACGCCGTAGCTTCTATTCTCCACCGTAGGTCGATTTCCACCGTCTTAGATCTAAAATCTCCCACGCACTCCATTCCGCCGTCATTCCGCATCTTGCCGTAGGTTTCGTGGTTCATCGAACCAACCCTAACAATCTCCCCTGTGGTTCGTCAACCACGAACTCCACTCGCACTCCTCCCCTGCTTCTTGTAGCCTTCACAGGGTCTAAGTCGGCTTCAAGCTCTCCTGCAGGTCCTCCACCTTGAACCTCTCCTTACGAGTCTTGAATTTGAGCGCCTTGACGTCCAAACCTTGAGACATTTTCTTAAGCCTCTCACTTCTCCTCGGCATCTTAACACCCAACACCTCTCGGGTCTCGTACCCCTCAACGTGTTCCTCCTTCGTAAGCACTCGCCCCTTTGCAGTTGCTTTCTCCTTTGATCCCTTCACCAGGATGTCCCCTTTCACAGCTTCAACTCCCATATACTTCTCATTTACTGCTTCATCTTCAACCACGATCGCTGCTGCAAAAGTGTTGACACCAACTCCATCTCCACCATTCACTGCTGCTGCCTCCATGGCGACTATCTCCTCTTTCTGCTTCACTGCTGCCTCCACACTCGCTGCCGTATCATCCGTGTCCTCACTCTCATCAACCTTAGTCGATAACTTCTCCAATTCTCCCATTTCACCATACTCAGGATCCTCATAGATCTCATCCATATCATTCGTCGCTATCACGTTCATCTCATAAAATCCGTCACTGAAGTAACCCTCTGCGTACTTCTCCCATTCTGGGCCAAACATTGTAACCTTTCCACTGTCATAAAATATCTTGCACCCCAAGTCATCAAGCTGTGACTGACTGACCAAATTCACCTTTAAATCCTCAACCAGCAGCACACTGTCCAGTTTCACCTCTCCATACGGACTCTGCAGCACCACGTCACCCTCTCCTGTCACTGGCAACTTCCCGCTGTTACCTTGCAGTATATAATCCTCACTCGAGTCCCTCACATTCTCCATCCAATCTGACCTGAATGTCATGTGACGCGTGCATCCGCTGTCCATGAACCATGCCGTCTTCTCACGATCGTCCGTCTGCCGAACCTCCTTTGGTAAACGCACCACGTTCGCAAGATGCGCTCCTCCAAAAATCACATCTTCCTTTTCCGCTTCTGCTACATTCGCCTTTGCCGCCACATTCCTCTGCTGCGACGGACCCTTGTAGCTCCTGCTATTCGGGTTGGAGTAGCACTCTGCGGCACGATGTCCATAGCGCCCACAATAGTCGCACTTGCCGCCAAAACCCCGTTTCTGCTGCCACTCCGCTCCCCCATTTTCTCCTTTATCGTTCTCCAACGCTTTGCCTTTGTAGTTCCTGCTTCGCGGATTTTCGTAGCAGTATATCGCCTTTTGCCCCCTCTTTCCACACTGGTAGCACGCTCCAAACGCCTTTGTCGCATTCACCATCGCCGACCTCTCCTCGTCTAATTCCGCTGCTGCTGCCGCTTTCTTTTTCCTCATCTCCTTCACCGTCTCAAGCGATTGCAGAATCTCCTGCAGCTTCGTCAAACTCTCCGGCGGTTGGTACGTAAACATACCGATGTCGGATTCCCACTCCTTAGGAAGGCCTTGGATGATATAGTCAATCATCTCCTGCTCCGTCTCCGCGGCTCCCATCACCCGCAAGTCGTCGTTGTAGTTTTTCGCCCTGTTGATGTAGGTGATGATTTTCTCGCCTTTCTCCATGCTCAGCATCAACAGTTGCTTCCTAATCGTCTTCTTGTTGACATCGTTCGTACCCATGTATGTGGACTCCAGGTACTCCCACGCTCGCTGTGCAGAGTTCAGCTCCCCTGCAAACTGGTCCAAATCCACCGCGATTCCATCGGCAACTGAGTGACAAAGCTGAAAGAACGCTTGCTTACTTTGTTTTTTGAACGCCGCTATTTTCTCCTTCGTATCCGTCGTGGAAGGCGCAACTCCCTCCATCGTCTCCTCGTCGGGACGGTAGTACGGCAAGAGGTCAACCTCCTCTGCCCTCCGAATAAACTTCTTCCGCCACACGTTGTAGTTGCTTCCATTGAAGCGCTGAGCTTCACTGAGCCCGATCGTCGGTTTCGCCACCAATCGGCCACTCGCAAGGGCCTCGAGAAGAGCCTTCAACTGCGAGTCTCCAAGACTCACACTGGAACCCGAACTCGCCTCGTCTCCCATGGCGTAGGCGTGAACGACTCCTCTTGTCCACTAATTTCACTTAGCGCACCAAGTGAATTCACCGCGATCGACGAGCCCGTTCGCCAAGCTCTGATACCAGTTCTTAGGATCGTAAACACCTTAGTCGGCAATAGTCTACTTGCTATTGCTTATCGTGTTCTCCACGATCTCCCAAATCCAACGATATGCGCAGCTCTGCTTGAAGTTGTCAATACACACTTCAGCAATTTCAGAATCTCAATGTTGTCCAATGTTGTGATTTCCAGAATGAGTACAAGCAGTTTTATGGTCAGGCAAGACACAAAATGCGATTCGTAACTTCACTTGTTTCCCAAGTAACCGCGTGTGCCTCGTTTCACCCCGAGTCGCACACGGAACCGAACCGAATGCACCGAACATTTCTTGAGTCCGAATCTCGAACCTTCTCGAACGCGCCTCAAGCTTGAACCACAATTTCCCCCGTCGATCTCATTCTCGATGCTTCTCCTTCTCTATTCCTCCTTCCTGCACATTCCTTCTCGATTTCCTTCCCGCTTCTCACGCCGTAGCTTCTATTCTCCACCGTAGGTCGATTTCCACCGTCTTAGATCTAAAATCTCCCACGCACTCCATTCCGCCGTCATTCCGCATCTCGCCGTAGGTTTCGTGGTTCATCGAACCAACCCTAACAGAAGGAACACGGAGGGGGGTGCCTCGCAGCGCGCTGCGGATTACATTTCGCGCTCGCCGCACATTGCGCGTTAACCGAACGTTGTGCGCTCGCCGTACATTGCGCGCTCGCCGTACATTGCGCGCTCGCCGTATATTTCGCACTCGCCGTTAATTGCGCGCTCGCCGTTCATTGCCCGCTCGCCCTTAATTGCGCGCTCGCCCTTAATTGCGCGCTCGCCCTTAATTACGCGCTCGCCCTTAATTGCGCGCTCGCCGTACATTGCGCGCTCGCCGTTTATTGCGCGCTCCGCCGTGCCGCGCGTCTCAGTAAGCTTCCGCTCCCACCCCATCAGCCGTTCCCACTCCGTCAGTCGTTCCCATTCCGTCAGCCGTTTTCACTCCGTCAACCGTTCTCATTCCGTCAACCGTTCCCATTCCGTCAGCCGTTCCCATTCCGTCAGCCGTTCCCATTCCGTCAGCCGTTCCCATTCCGTCAACCCTTCCCATTCCGTCGGCCGTTCTCATTCCGTCAACCGTTCCAATTTCGCAGGGTCCTCTAGCGTCCTTACTAACTTCTGCATCCCTTCATCCTCGCTGCATACGTTCATTCTTCATAATTCTCAGAAGTATTTTCCATTCCGCCCTTTCCCATTCTCACTGTGGGTGTTTTTCATTTACTTTTATTAAATTCCTTATTGATCCCCCCTTTCGCCCATTCCTACAGCGACGCGCTTTCCGCCATTACCCACGCCGCACTCACCTTTCGCTGCGCGACGCGGTTCTGCTGCACGACGGTCGTCAAATAGTCCCACTCCGTCGCCCGTACCCCTTTTCCAGGGGACAATGCTCCCCTTTCGCCCTACATTTCCCCGTAATTCGCCACACACATTTTGCCCTTTCCTACAGCGACACACCTTTCGCTGCGCGACGCGGTTCTGCTGCACGACGGTTGTCAAATAATCCCACTCCGTCGCCCGTCCCGGCTTCTCTCGCTCCTTCTCCCGCCTCTCCCGCTCCAGCTCCCGCTCCTTCTCCTCGTACCGCTGCTGCAGCTGCGCATCGGCGCTCACAGCCACCTTGGTCACGATCTTCCTCCCGCGGTTAAACATCGTTCCTCCGAAGCGACGCGGCTATCAGAGGCCGACGCGGCGTTCAAAGACCGATGCACTGATTCGAAGCGCCTTTAAGCTAATAACATTAACGTAGTCTATTAGTACCCTGGTTATGCGTGGCGGACAGGCGGAGCTGACCAGCTTCTTCTCGTGTCTGTGGACTCTGAGCGGGTAGTGTCTGCTGATTTACAAGCTGGAAAGAAGAAATCAAAACATTTGGTCTTTTATAAAAGTTGCTTCCAGGCGAAATGGATCAAGGTGGAAGATTCGAGCTACGCTTGTACTAACGGTCGAGCCAGAGAAATTCAAAACTGGAAAGTTGTGCTGGAAGTCTGTGAAACGAAGCAGCAGTAGCGGAACCAACGGCTAGGAGGAGGAAAGACGAGGATAAAACCGAGGCGCGTCACGCGTGTTTCTTCCATGCAGTCTAGGTGTCTGCTTTGCACCAAGGTCCACACACACACACCAACCAACGCCGAGGGAGACATCGAAAAAGACGGAGGGTGATGTGGAAGATCGGAAGCAGGGCTGTTGCTACAAGGAAAAATGCCCTTAATGCCCAGAAAATTAAGTGTTGGGTTTGGTCAAGGTGACCCATTTCAAGGTCTGGTCTCGAGGACAGCCCGTCCGCATTAAGTTCAGATCCGGGCTTAACCCGGATTCGTTAAGTGTTCATTTTGGGCCTAGCCCGGATTTTACGTAGAAGCCCCGGAGTTAGTCCCTACCCTCGAACTACTCCTCTCACCCCCTGACCCCCCCCCAGTAGGATCTGTAGAGTCGGCTTCAGGTACTTGGCGAATATTTGGTGAAGTCAAGCAGTGACTTCGCAATTTTTTCAGACACTGGCTTCAGGTACTTGGCGAAACAGCAGCAATCCGTGAATTTAAGGGCTGATTTTGGGGCCACCTCAGTCTCCCAAGTTCTGGCCCCAGAGCAATCGACAGCCCAGATCAGGAGGGGAGAGGGATCTCTCTCTCGACTTTCTCGAGTGGAGTCTTCGGGTCTCCACTTTGACTGGACAGTGCTCAGGTTGGAAGTTCTTAACCAGGAAATTCTGCTAAACTGGGCGAAAATACCGTAAGCGCATTCATTTTTTTCGTTTTCTTACACTCCCAGTCAACGTGCTTCCTTGAAGGTTTAGGACTATGTTCTAGGGTGAATGGCCCACAGAAAACAAGCAGATCGACAGACACGACGAGAAGCTTCAAAAGAGATCAATTCAAGGGTGCATGTGTTCAGTTTGATGGGAATACAGTACAGAATCATATCAAACCAAATTTACGCCACTGTACGGCATCACATTCGGAAAGAATGATTGCTTTTGGATATGGCATGAAGTTCTGGGATATGGTTTGTGAGGCGATGGGTCAGCTCATCCGTCCACCTCATCATGCTCGATTCCTCGCCACCTATTTCCACAAGACCCATGTCCACAAATCGCTTGAGCTGAAATTCCTTAGTGGGTAAGCCTTAAAGCCCAAGACCTGAATTACAAGGCAAACTGTGCACAGTTTGCCTACCGAACCCACACTTGACCTCCCGAGCCAGGCTGGTTACCAGAAAACATTGCGCCAAGAAACACAGAGTCGTAGAGCAGAACAGGTTTGGTTGGCGAGAGTCCCAACCACACCCTCCTGAAGGAACAAGGGCTCAAAATGTGCACAGTTTGCCTTCTTCGGTAATTCAGGTCGTGTGATTTCCATAGTACGCGAAGCGATTAGAGTATGCGAAGAGATAGAATAAAACGCCACTACAGCATAGGCCATGAGAATTTTCACTTTTATTCCTAGCTCTTTCCCAAACATCGCATTTGGACCTATCGCCTTCCGCGTCCCCCACGCTTCTCCCCACCGTCTCTCACACACCTCCCCACGCACACGCCCACTCTTCCCACCGTCGCCCAAGCTTTCCCCAACCGTCGCTCACGCTTCCCCTTATCGCCGCTCACGCTTCCTCCGGCCTTCCCCCACACCGTCGCTCACGCCTTTCCCCACCTTCCCTCACGTTTCCCCTCTCATCGCCCACGATTCCTCCCACCGTCGCCCACGCTTCGGAGCACCGTCACCCACGCTTTCCCCACCGTCGCCCACGCTTCCCCCCACCGTCGCCCACGCTTCCCCCCACCGTCACCCACGCTTCCCCCCACCGTCGCCCACGCTTCCCTCCACCGTCGCCCACGCTTCCCCCCACCGTCGCCCCCGCTTCCCCCCACCGTCGCCTACGCTTCCCCCCACCGTCACCCACGCTTCCCCCCACCGTCGCCCACGCTTCCCCCCACCGTCGCCCACGCTTCCCCCCACCGTCGCCCACGCTTCCCCCCACTGTCGCCCACGCTTCCCCCCACCGTCGCCCACGCTTCTCCCCACCGTCGCCCACCGCCACCGTCGCCCACCGCCACCGTCGCCCACCGCCACTGTCGCCCACGCTTGCCCTCCCATCGTCCTCGCTTAGCCTTCCCGCCGACCTCCCTTCTCTCCTCCTCTCTCCACGTCGTCATCACTCCCCTGCCCATCACGTTCCCCCTCTTCACCATCGCTTCTCTACCCATGCCGCCCACCCTCTCATCCCTTCCCATCGCGTGGGGTGTGGGAGGGTGCGTGGTCAGCAGCACCCCATACACGTTCATTCATTACCCCTTCCCTCATCTCCCCATTCCTCATCTCTCCTTCCCTCATCTCCCCATTCCTCATCTCCCCTTCCCTCATCTCCCCATCCCTCATCTCCTCATCCCTCACCTCCCCATCCCTCTCCTCCCCAGCCCTCTCCTCCCCATCCCACACCTCCCCATCCCTCATCTCCTCATCCCTCATCTCCCCATCCCTCATCTCCCCAATCCGCCTCACCCCATTCCGCCCCGCCCCACCCCATTCCGCCCCACCCCTTTCTGCCCCACTCCATTCCGCCCCACCCCTTTCTGCCCCACCCCATTCCGCCCCACCCCAGCCTCCTCCCCAGCCTCCTCCCCACCCTCCTCTCCAGCCTCCTCCCCAGCCTCCTCCCCAGCCTCCTCCCCAGCCTCCTCCCCAGCCTCCTCCCCAGCCTCCTCCCCAGCCTCCTCCCCACCCTCCTCCCCACCCTCCTCCCCACCCTCCTCCCCACCCTCCTCCCCACTCTCCTCTCCAGCCTCCTCCCCAGCCTCCTCCCCAGCCTCCTCCCCACCCTCCTCCCCACCCTCCTCCCCACCCTCCTCCCCACCCTCCTCCCCACCCTCCTCCCCACCCTCCTCCTCACCCTCCTCCCCACCCTCCTCCCCACCCTCCTCCCCACCCTCCTCCCCACCCTCCTCCCCAGCCTCTCTTCCTCCCCTCCCTTCTGCTTCTCCCCCAAGCGTCCTCCCTACCTCCCTTCCTCCCATCATCACTTCCTCCCTTCCTCCCTTCCTTCATTCCTGCATTCCTCACTTCCTCCCTTCCTCCGTTCCTCCCTTCCTCATTTGCCAGTTGTCATTCTTTTGCATGCTTGCTTCCCTTATACTTCAGCCACGTCACATCTGACTTCTTGATTTGTGTTTGGACAGGTCTGCTCTGCATCTGGTTGTGCATGTGCTGGCTGTCTGATAGTAACACACGTATAGCCATGCCATATATTGGATTTTTTTTTTATAATACAGGATTATGAGCCTCAGAGCAGTCATACACATGACCAATACCAAGGAGTTCCAACAATTAATATATTACCGTATCTGTAAAGTAAGGGGAATCACCAGACTCGAGAAGGGAACAAAGCTAGGGGGTGTATGTGTAATGCTGCTTTCCGGTTTTGTCTGCTACACTGCAAGCAATAAACCAGGCCGTGGTAAAGCCACATCTGGTGCTGAGCACCTGTAACTGCATTGGGGGGTATGGGGGTGAGTGAAGGGGGAAAGACAGTAAACGGAATGAGCAGAGGGGAAGAGAAGAAGCGGGGGGGAACAGAGTGAGCAGAAGTAAAGAGAGTGAGCAAGGGGGAAGAGAGTGAGCAGAGAAGAAGGGGAGGGAGCAAGGGTGAAACAGAGGGAGCAAGGGTGAAACAGAGGGAGCAAGGGTGAAACAGAGGGAGCAAGGGTGAAACAGAGGGAGCAAGGGTGAAACAGAGGGAGCAAGGGTGAAACAGAGGGAGCAAGGGTGAAACAGAGGGAGCAAGGGTGAAACAGAGGGAGCAAGGGTGAAACAGAGGGAGCAAGGGTGAAACAGAGGGAGCAAGGTTGAAACAGAGGGAGCAAGGGTGAAACAGAGGGAGCAAGGGTGAAACAGAGGGAGCAAGGGTGAAACAGAGGGAGCAAGGGTGAAACAGAGGGAGCAAGGGTGAAACAGAGGGAGCAAGGGTGAAACAGAGGGAGCAAGGGTGGATCAGAGGGAGCAAGGGTGAAACAGAGGGAGCAAGGGTGAAACAGAGGGAGCAAGGGTGAAACAGAGGGAGCAAGGGTGAAACAGAGGGAGCAAGGGTGAAACAGAGGGAGCAAGGGTGAAACAGAGGGAGCAAGGGTGAAACAGAGGGAGCAAGGGTGAAACAGAGGGAGCAAGGGTGAAACAGAGGGAGCAAGGGTGAAACAGAGGGAGCAAGGGTGAAACAGAGGGAGCAAGGGTGAAACAGAGGGAGCAAGGGTGAAACAGAGGGAGCAAGGGTGAAACAGAGGGAGCAAGGGTGAAACAGAGGGAGCAAGGGTGAAACAGAGGGAGCAAGGGTGAAACAGAGGGAGCAAGGGTGAAACAGAGGGAGCAAGGGTGAAACAGAGGGAGCAAGGGTGAAACAGAGGGAGCAAGGGTGAAACAGAGGGAGCAGGGGTGAAACAGAGGGAGCAAGGGTGAAACAGAGGGAGCAAGGGTGAAACAGAGGGAGCAAGGGTGAAACAGAGGGAGCAGGGGTGAAACAGAGGGAGCAGGGAAGGGGATGGGGGGAGCAGGGAAGGGGATGGGGGTGAGCAGGGAAGCGGATGGGGGGATGCTGGGAGGGGGAAGGAGGGAAGGGGACGGGGGGAAGCAGGGAAGGGGAAGGGGGAAAGCAGGGAAGGGGATGGGGGGGAGCAGGGAAGGGGTTGGGGGGAAGCAGGGAAGGGGATAGGGGGAAGCAGGGAAGGGGATGGGGTGAGCAGGGAAGGGGATGGGGGGGAGCAGGGAAGGGGATGGGGGTGAGCAGGGAAGCGGATGGGGGGATGCTGGGAGGGGGACGGGGGAAGGAGGGAAGGGGACGGGGGGAAGCAAGGGGAAAGAGAGTGAGCAGGGGGGGAAGAGAGTGAGAAGAGAGTGAGCAGGGGGGAAGAGATTGAGGAGGGGGGAAGTGAGTGAGCAGGGGGGAAGAGAGTGGGAAGAGAGTGAGCAGGGGGGAAGAGATTGAGGAGGGGGGAAGCGAGTGAGCAGGGGGGAAGAGAGTGAGCAGGGGGGAAGAGAGTGAGCAGGGGGAAAGAGAGTGAGCAGGGGGGAAGAGAGTGAGCAGGGGGAAAGAGATTGAGCAGGAGAGAGTGAAAGGCAATGGGAGGGGAAGTGAAGGTGACGGGTGGGGAAGCGAGTGTGAGGGGGGAAAGCGAGTGCGGCAGGCGTGGAAGGCGACGGGAGGGGGAATCGAAGGCATCGGGGGGGAGAAGTGAAGGCGACGGGAGGGGGAAGTGAGGGCGACGGGAGGGGGAAATGAAGGCGACGGGAGGGGGAAATGAAGGCGACGGGAGGGGAAGTGAAGGCGACGAGAGGGGGAAGTGAAGGCGACGGGAGGGGGAAATGAAGGCGACGGGAGGGGGAAATGAAGGCGACGGGAGGGGGAAATGAAGGCGACGGGAGGGGGAAGTGAAGGCGACGGGAGGGGGAAGTGAAGGCGACGGGAGGGGGAAATGAAGGCAACGGAAGAGGGGGGGGAGTGAAGGCGACGGGGGAGAAGTGAAGGCGACGGGCGGAGCGAAGGCGACGGGCACGCGACGAGCTGCGGAAGCGATAGCGACGACGCGGGCGAAAGAGAGCGGAAGGGTGGGAAAGGAAAGCGAGGGCGAGGGGAGGGTCACGTTTGGGCGAACGGTTGCGATTCGATTTTCGCCACGAGTTTACGCTACGGAGTAGTTGCACAATAACCTGCATTTCGACACAATAATCTTCACCCAGCGCAAACTAGCTTTGCGCGTCATCATTGCAAATCCGCGCCACCCAAATCGTATGGCGCATCTACTCCCTTTTGAGTGAACGCCGACGCCCTGCCCTGTCTACAGGTATGGTCTATGCCTAATACTCTGCGTGCTATCTCAAACTGTGCACAGTTTGATAAGCTCACGCTTTTCTGGTTGTGGGAAGGGCACCAACCATCATGGGAAGCGAGATACTTTTGTCGCAAATTGGTTTCGCGAGTGAAAATCTCTCGCAACCCAACCGAACCTCTCCGTGCCTGCCTCCCGAACCTAGTTTTTAGCGTTGACTTCCGTTGAGTAATTCAGGTCTTGGGCTTTAAACTCCACGAGATGTGGCTTAGAACAACCAAGACTTTCACGAAACTGTTTCGGGTAATTACCTCCTGGGTAACCAACATCGAGCCCGCTGACGTCCGTAGTCTGCCACGTGGCTCGATGGTACCCATCAGATCATCCGATACCCTTCGTGGTACCCAATATCCCTCCGTGGTAACCTTTGTCCCTGCGTGGTCACAGTCAACACTCATCACATTCCCTGACTGGTACCGCTACATTTCAACCGAACTGTACACCGTACAACAAGGTTTGACTCAGCCCTTTCGTGTTTTTCAGTATATTGTACTAGCGTTTACAAGCTCTCAAGTATCAGAAACCCGAATTGGCACCCGAATATACCAAACGAAATATGTGTCAAGGGAATAGTACAGTAAAAATAAATTAGCGTCCGGATAAAACAGCGCTATAAAAGATTTTAAAACATGCTGGATATTAAGCATGTTATTTGTCTATTATAAAAAAATGGAAACAAAATATCGCTTTGAGAATATCTAAATGATAACAAGCCAGTTTTTTTACATGTATTATATACAATATTTATTGCTTTTTATCTTACTGTTAATTTCCAAACGCAAAACAATGTATCAATGGAAGATGCCTTTTATTATTTTTTATTGTTGACAAAATTATCTTATATCATTAATCAAAGATTGCTTTGCAAACCTAAAACTGTGAAAATACGGAACTTGTTATTAATGCCATATGCAAATCATTTTATCACCTTATTCTATGGTTTTATCATAAGCAAAAAAAGTATATGATCAATGCAATTAATTATGCATATAATATATAGAATATATATGTATTGTACAATATTTTAAAATATTTTGGTATTAAAATATTTTATATCCATAATATTGTATATTTTTTTATTCGTTTTGTGCAGTCTGTTATCCATATTTTTCACGTTAACTGTTTAGATATTACGTTTCGCATATTGACCCGATGTGAACGGTATTAGGATATAAATCGCAGGAAGACTTAATAGAGCTGAAATTGCGCGTAATGAATGGGTTTGTGAAGGTCGGGTACCCTTGCAAAAATCGATTATTGACATTATCCGGCACATACTACATATTTATTAGAGTATAGATATTTAAAGATTAATAATGTTATTTTCTATTATAGAAATTCTTAAAATAAAAGAATCTATGATGAAATACTTTATTTATTTCAAAAAAAATATTTGCCAATTTTTTTTTTTTTTTAATATATGCTTTAGAATTTCAGTCTGGGCTGCAAAATATGTACTCTTTTTAACGCCTTGAAATCTACAGGATCCAGTAGAAGACCAAGACATTGTTTTGTCAAACATATATGCTATGGTCTATCTAGGCTGTAGTGGGGTAGCTCTTATAGGGTACAACATTTTTAGGTTTCCTACTTGTACCCACCTGCTTCCTA